AGTGAATGAACACATTTGAATGTTTTCTCAAAATGTAAAATAAATTAAATCTGAAAAATGTTATTAAATTTGTATGCGGTGTATATTTAATATTTAAATTAATTTTGATCAAATAAATGTACCCCTAATGAGCATAAAATATTTCTTTCTAATATTAATAAATCATTAACATTAGCATTACTGGCCTTAATTGTTGTATGGCAGTCTATGATTTCATTTAAAATATACATCATTATAATTAAAATCAAATGTTTAATTATTTATTCACAAGATATGCTTTTTCAGGGGTGGTCTCAATCATTTCAGACCAATCTATTTGATATAATGTAATTTAAAAATGAATGAAACCAACATAAATGAACATATAAAATCTAAAAATGTAGGGAAAAAAAAAAAAAATTTTTAGTGTAAAAGCATGCGTTTCAGACAATATTTACTTGGGAACTATTTCCTTTATACAACAAATCTGGTTGTAGTTAAGGCCAGCATGCTTATTAGCCAATGAACATCATTTAAAATAGCCAAATATCATTCTAATATTGTTCTATCCACCTACAGTGCCTATAGAAAATCATCATACCCTGTGAGAATCTATACCTTTACTCACATTACACCCTGCTTTCATAAGACCTTCGGGATAAAGTTGTAGAAAGGCACAGGTTAATAGAAGCCTACAAAACTTTTAAAATCTTTTTTAGAATGTGATTTCAGGCTGTATGACAAACAAAGTCATTATTTAAAGGGGTTTGATTATTTTCTATAGGCACTGAATATCTCACACACATTTCTTGTAATTACAGGAGATAGCAGGTATTCTTACATCTGGGGGACTTGAAATATGGCACTGTCCAAAGCATTAGTCCCCATGCTATCTTCACTGTCCAGAGTGTATCCTTCTCCATCCGTCATTCTGTGGTTGGTTTTATCTGTGAAAATACACAATTAGACATAATAAGCAAGAGATTCATTATTTAATATTCTGTAACTTTAATATGAGTTACGTTAAAGGGGTCATGAACTGACAAATCAGAAGTCCCTTGATCTTTGGACATAGAGGTCACTGTACTATATAAAAAAATATCCTGTGCATTTCAGAATGTTCTTGTTAGTGTAAACCAGCTTACTGTACTGTATGTGGGAAAAAAAGGTTGAATATATAATATTTTATGTTTTAAATTTTGGGATCTAAACTTGGATGCAAAGTGTCAAAATATGGGTTGTTGACAAATAGGTGGTAAAAAAATGCTTTTTAAAAAAACAATCTCTAAAGAAATAAAATTATATTTTATTTCCCTTGTTTCCTCTGGGTGCTCCACAAGCCCAAATCCATGCGCTATAGGTGAATTGAGTAAGCTAAATTGTCCGTAGTGTACAGTATGTGTGTGGATGCTGGATAAGTTGCACATCATTCATGTGGCGACGCCAGATTAATGAAGGGACTAAGCTGAAAAGAAAAGAAATGAATGAATGAATGAATGAATGAATGAATGAATGAGTGTGTATGGATGTTTCCCAGTACAGGGTTCCCAGCTGGAATAGCATCCACTGTGTAAAACATATGCTGGATAAGTTGGTGGTTGTGGCAACCCTAGATTAATAAAGGGACTAAGCAGAAAATGAATGAATGAATGAGTGTGTATGGATGTTTCCCAGTACTGGGTTAAACCTGGAAGGACATTCGCTGTGTAAAATATGTGCAGGATAAGTTGGCGGTTCATTCTGCTGTGGCGAACCCAGATTAATGAAGGGACTAAGCCGAAAAGAAAATGAATGAATGAATAAATGACTGTGTATGGATGTTTCCCAGTACTGGGTTGAAGCTGGAAGAACATTCGCTGTGTAAAATATGTGCAGGATAAGTTGGCGGTTCATTCTGCTGTGACGACCCCAGATAGATAAAGGGACTAAGCCGAAAAGAAAATGAATGAATGAATGACTGTGTATGGATATTTCCCGGTACTGGGTTGAACCTGGCAGGACATCTGCTGTGTAAAATATGTGCAGGATAAGTTGGCGGTTCATTCTGCTGTGACGACCCCAGATTGATAAAGGGACTAAGGCGAAATGAAAATGAATGAATGAATGAATGAATGACTGTGTATGGATATTTCCCGGTACTGGGTTGAACCTGGAAGTATATCCGCTGTGTAAAATATGTGCACGATAAGTTGGCGGTTCATTCTGCTGTGGCGACCCCAGATTAATAAAGGGACTAAGCCGAAAAGAAAATGAATGAATGAATGAATGAATGAATGACTGTGTATGGATATTTCCCGGTACTGGGTTGAACCTGGAAGGACATCCGCTGTGTAAAATATGTGCAGGATAAGTTGGCGGTTCATTCTGCTGTGGCGACCCCAGATTAATAAAGGGACTAAGCCGAAAAGAAAATGAATAAATGAATGAATGAATGAATAAGTGTTTATGGATGTTTCCCAGTACTTGGTTGCAGCTGGAAGGGCATCCGCTGAGTAAAACGTGCTGGAGAAGTTGGCGGTTCATTCCGCTGTGGTTACCCCTGATGAATAAAGAGACTAAGCCAAAGGAAAATAAATGAATACTAATTATATACATTTTTGTCATGCATCAAAATGGAATGACATGTCAACAACCCATATGTATATGCAAGATTGTTAGCCAATCACAGCACTGGGTGTTTACTTCAGTTATATGGAGGTCAATACAGGACAGTATAAGTAAAAAAATACTTACAAGTTTTTTAAAAGTAAAAAAAAAAAAAAACAGAGAACAGTACAAAATAACCGTTTAAGTCAATTTATGACCCCTTTAAAACAATGGTTCTGCACTTCACATATGAAAGGAAAATATAAGAACTAAAAATTAAAAAGACCACAGTGAAATGAAAGGAAATGCACTCTTTAAAAAATTATAATAATTTAAAACATGTTAATTTTTTATGCAAATCTCATGGCGGTCATGATTTTAGATTTAAACATTTTTTATCTCTTTTATTTTGCTTTTATAATAGCCTGTTTAGTGCTGGGTTTTATTTGTATGTTTAGAGAGAGAGAGGCAGGAGTCACGTGTCTCTCACCTCCTCTAGCAGAGATCCCTCCATGATGGTCATCTGACTCGATACTTTGCTCTCATTGGCTGGAAGATGTTGCATGATCAGTATGAGGCCAGTTCTGCCTTTAGATGGGGCTGTTTTTCTACACGGACTCTCACATCCACGTTCGCCCTCACATGAAACCAGCTCATGATTTTTACACACCACAGTCATGCGGACATTGATATGGGTTTGATCTGAGGGTAAGGGCCTGGGATTTTTACTTGCAAGGGGAAATGAGGTAACAGAGGGTTCATCATGCTCTGGATGTCAGTGTGAAGTGTCGTCCATATGTTTATCAATTTAGCATTGGGTATCTCTTAGTACAATACGAGCCTGTAAATGGATTTTTCTGTTTTACAAAGAAACATTGAGCCTGAATGTCTGACATTACATTTTATCTGGGGGATAATATCTTTAATTGCTGGCTCGTCCAACTTTTACTGCAGCTGAAGGCACATTTGAGATATTTAATTTAATAATGGGAGTTTAACAGACTGAATTATTTAACCATTTTAGATTAGATGGTTTCCATTTCGCCACTCGGTATGCAAATGTGTACATTAAAAAGTACTTTAGGATTTCACTTTTCTTAAAGGTATAGTTCACCCAATAATGAAACTTTGCTAGTTATTTTACTCAGTCTCAGAGCAACTTATGTGTACTGTAGGTGACTATTTTCTTCAGTCGAACAGTTACAGTAGATTATTTTTCATCTGAAACTGTGGTAAAAGGGTGTGTGCAGAGCTAATGTTTGTTCCCATACTGATAAACGTCCGGTAAACGGTTAATGTGACTCCTTTCCATTTTATACAGTTCCTTTTACAGCGCTTGACCCTGACAAATTAAAAGTCCTTCTGCATCTACTTTTTGGTAATTCATAAATTGCAAGTGATCGGCTACAATGGAAAAAATATACAGTTGAAGTCAGAATTATTACCCTCCCTGAATTATTAGACCCCTTTTGATTTTTCCCCCAATTTCTGTTCAACGGTTTTAACACATTTCTAAACATAATAGTTTTAATAACTCATTCACAATAATTGATTTATTTTATCTTTGTCATGATGACAGTAAATATTTTACTAGATATTTTTCATGACACTTCTATACAGCTTAAAGTGATGTTTAAAGGGTTAACTAAATAGATAATTAGGTTAACTAGGCAGGTTAGGGTAATTAGGCAAGTTATTGTAAAACGATGGTTTGTTCTGTAGACTATCGAAAAAATATATAGCCTAAAGGGACTAAAAATTTTGACCTTAAAATGTTTTTATATATATATATATATATATATATATATATATATATATATATATATATATATATATATATATAACTGCTTTTATTCTAGCCGAAACAAAACAAATTTGACTTTCTCCAGAAGAAAAAATATTATTAGAGATACTGTGAAAATTTCCTTGCAATTGCCTATTTTTTAAAAATCGACATCATAATGGCTTTTAAACATTTCCATGTGAAGAAAATGATCTTGCAATCATAAAACTTTTCCAAAACCATGTTTCTTCTGTGTTTCATGTGTGTTTCATATGTGATTTGAACATGAGAAGCTCATGTGACACTTGTGTTTACTTTTTGTTATTTTTTTTGTTTGTTTGTTTTTTCATGAGAGGCAAAATGAAGTGGTTATCGGTGGCTTCTGATGATACATTGAGGTCTTGAAAAAACATTCAAAGCAAACGTGCATACAGATGCAGGCTTAAGAGCAAACTGACTTCATTAGATCTCAATGTATAGTCAGTAGCCACAGGTTTTCATTTGTTTTTTGTTCTTGTTTTAACACTTGAAAAGCCGGTAGCCATCACCCTTCACAATATGAATCACCATGAACCACAGTTTCAGCCAAAAAATCTTCTAGAATGTCCTACTGAAATGTAACCTACAGTGCTCAGCATAATTGTGCACAGCCCATTTTGAAAATTAATATTTGTATCCATTTCTCAGTGAATGTAGGAAATGTATTTGGGTACATTTAAACAAAACAGATCTATTAAATATATATATTTATTAAAATAACATTTTAGTCACCAAACATATTTAGAAATTGAGAGATATTAAAATTAAATTCAAGCACAATATTGCAAAAAAGAATTACAAACCACAAAATTTTAACTAAATTCTTAAATTTTTTTGCTTCTCTTGATTTTTTCCTCTTTTTAAAATATTTTTTTAATGTTAAGTATTTTATATTTTTCTATACATACATTTTGCTGTACTAGTTTTTGGACCATTAGTTATTAGTTATACTATTTTATAACTAAGTTATTATAGTAACTTAGTTATTATATTTAGTTATTAGTTATATTAGTTATAAGTTATTTTGTTAGATAAGCTCCAGATTAGGAGTAGAATTATAAGCCAAGGGGCTAATAATGGGGCTAATAATGTTGACCTTAAAATGTTTTTAAAAAAATTAAAAACTGCTTTTATTCTAGTCAAAATAAAACAAATAAGACCAAGAAATAATTTTGTCCAGAAGAAAAAATATTATCATACATACTGTGAAAATTTCCTTGCAATGTTAAACATAATTTGGGAAATATATTTAAAAAAATCTAAATTAAAGGATGGCTAATAATTCCAACTTCAACTGTATGTGCACAAATATAATATTGTAAAGCTTCCTATTAAAAGTATGAATTTAACAGACAGATTTGTGAGGGGTGTACTCATTTATTCTGAGCACTGTATATCTCGGAAGACCTGAGGGTATATATATATATAATATTTATTTTTTATTTTTTTAATGTGTATGTTTAAATTATGCCATTAAATACCTCTATTATGCTCTTTTAAAATGTTCCTAATATTTCTTTGGAGGACTCTTATAATAGTTTTAAAATAATTTAGTTTTATAATAGTTTCTGTATGTTGGGTGACAAATCATTTTTGATTCATAAAACAGTGCTCAACATAAACGAGTAACACTCCATTTTGAAAATGAATATTTGTATCAATTTCTCAGTGAACATAGGTCATATATTTTGGTGCATTTAAACCAAACAGATTTATTAAACTAATATATATTTATTAAAACAATATTTTAGTCACTGAACATCTTTAGAAATATAAAGACAATACACTTAAATTCATGCAAAATATGGGGAAAATTTGCAAACTACAAATTTTCAACAAACTGTTTATATTTATTTGTTTCTCTTGAATTTTGCTCTTTTTTAATTTCATATTTTCCCTAACATACAAATTTACTAATTTTGTAGCGTTATCATAAGTTATTTTATTAGATTAACTCCAGATTTGGCTTCAGTACTGACTAATCTAATGTGTATGCATGCACAAATATAATACTGTAAAGCATCTTATAAAAAATATTAATGTAAAGGAGAAATTTGTGAGGGGTGTATGCATGTATGTTGAGCACTGTATATTAAACAATACATAAAGGACAAAACTCAAAAAAGCATAACAGGGGCACTTCAATTATACCAAGGGTGCCCAAACTCGGTCCTGGAAGGCTGGTGTCTTGCAGATTTTAGCTCCAACTTGCCTCAACATACTTGCACAGATTTTTCTAGAAAGCCTAGTAAGAGATTAGCCAGCCTAGGTGTGTCTGATTAGGGTTGGAACTAAACTTTGCAGGACAACGGCCCCCCAGGACCAAGTTTGGACACCACTGAACAATACGATTTCTTATATTATGCGCTATTATGTTTATAATTAGTGATTTTAGGTGTAGGTTTTACAATATTAACATTAAACGATGAAAAGAAGAACTAAACTTACTGAAAAAAAGAAAGTGTCAGAAATGTGAGGGTGAGAGGGAATGGTAAAGAAATAGCGGAAGAGTGCGAGAACAAGAGGACAGACAGAAAGAAAGACAGAAAAACAGAGAGGCTGTGAGCTCATGTGAAGTAGTAAGGGTTACTTGGCTGGAGTCGGGATTGATGGACGGCAGCTTCCGCTGCAGCGATGGCGTTTCCGGCCTCCTCCAAGTGTGCTTGGGTGACGCTGCCTTTGCTTTGGCTTCGTGATGGGCCATGTGAGCGCAAGTGACCCTCAGAGGAGGATTTGGAGCTGCCGGGACTACTGTGGGACTTTTCTATTGTAGGGACCTGTGTATCTGTAAACATACAGTATGTGCTCTGGATTAATACACCACTGATCTTCAGTATCTCTTAGATCTTAGTTGGGGGTCTATAAGATTTAAACTTGCATAGATACAATTGATCAAATGTGACAGTAAAATTTAAAAAAAGATAATAGAAAGTTGATTGAAAAATTGTAACTTTCTGATTATCAAAGAGATCATTTATTTCGCATTTCACCAAAATATTAAGCTGCTCAACAGTTTTCAGTAATAATAATAATAATAATAATAATAATAATACACATTTCCCTAGCATCAAATCATTGTATAAAAATGACACAGAAGACTGTAACAAAGCATAACATTCTATTGTAACAATACAATATGTTATATTTTATATATATATATATATATATATAACAGTGAAAATGTAATAATATTGACAATTAATCAGTTTATAGTATATTTTGAGCAAATGAATGCGTCTTTACTGACAGCAGCGTATATGTTGGATTTTATTAGTTAACTTCAGTTGAAGTTAGAATTATTAAACCCCCTGAATTATTAGCCCCCTGTTTATTTTTTCCATAATTTCTGTTTAATGGAGAGACGATTTTTTTCAACACATTTCTAAACATAATAGTTTTAATAATTCATCTCTATTAACTGATTTATTTTATCTTTGCCATGATGACAGTAAATAATATTTGACTATATATTTTTCAAGACACTTCTATACAGCTTAAAGTGACATTTAAAGGCTTAACTAGGTTAATTTGGTTAACTAGGTAAATAAGGTAAAGTTTTTAGTTTAGCAACAACACTCAAAAAATAAATCATTTGATGAACACAATTTAATTGAAAGCAGGATTTCCATCCACAAACATTTGTTTAGCACCATCACCAACAACAACAACAAAACTATTTACACATTTAAATGCAATTGAGTTGCTCCAACATGATTTTATTAAATAATAAATTATATATATTTTTTTTAACGTAAACTCAATGATCTGATATTATCATGTAAGTCTATTATGTTTCTTACATTTTAAACTCTTTTAATTTTATTTGAAGTTATCCTAAATAAATTAAAATAGCCATTTTACGACTACTTAATGACTTACATATACAGTTGATTGAGAATGATTTCAGAACTCATTTTAGGACAGTTATTGCTCACTGAGCAAAGCAACAAACTGCATTTTTGCTAATTAAGCTGCCAACACCCAAAGCATGGGTGCTTCTGCAAGGTGCTAATCTCAAAACTCAAAGTATTACATGAAAATCTTCTAAATCTTCAAACTAAAGTGAAAATTAAACTTTAACAAGTTTTTCTATTAACTTTAAACACCTGTGATTACTTTTATTGTCAATATTTCCCTCTCTTAATTCAGTCTCATGCAAAGCATGCAAGGAACTACAACACAATTGGACCAACACAATTCCTTCATGTTGTCCCAATACAAAACGCTTAAGTTAACTTAATGGTTTAAAACTTTAAGTGGACTGAACATAAAACAATGAAATTGGCCAAAGAAATGACAAGAATTGTGTTGTTTCGGCTCATTTTAAACAAGTAGTTTAAACAAGCAGCAGTAATCTTTTTTGAGTGAATACTGTATATGTCAGCTTAGAGTACATTTGCCACATTTAATATCATTAGACTGTTAGATTATGGTTGGTATCAAAACAAAAATGTTAGCAGATATTAAGCAGAAGGACACTGGTTACCACCTGTGCAAATGAGGTGCACATTTTTGTTTAATAAGCATGACCTACCTTTAGCAGGGTCAGGGAAAATGCCATGACTTCGGCTTTTGATGACTGAGGTTTTAGGGGACTCCTGGTTCCCTGGTTGCCCTCCTTGACCTCCAGAACCTCCTGGTCCTCCAGGGCCTCCCTGACCTCCAGAGCCACCCTGACCTCCAAAGCCCCCTGAGCCGCCGGGCCCCTGTGGAGGGTGGGTTCTTCCATGGTGGATACTTTCACTTTGCTCCTTTAGAGGGTGCCAGCGAGGTGTGTTATCAAGCTGAGTCGTGTTAGAGAGATCAATGAGCACCTACAGAAACAACACAGGCATTCATAATGTCTTAGTTGGCTGTTTCCCGACCGGCTTTGTTCCAAAAACCTTTTAAAATGTGCGTTTAACTGTGTTTATGCAAGTCAGGTGTGAGTACATCTTGGTAAGAGTGCGCCTGTGCAGTTTTGATTGACAAGTTCAATTATGATTCTTGTGGCTTTATCTGTCGCAGTTTTGACAAATACGATGCAGCCTTCTTTCCCACTTTAACTGATAGATTGAATATATGTCATATTTAGTTCTGTATATTATATATTTACAGATAAACTGATAGAGTCATCTTATTCCTCAACACTTTCTTGTCTGTAACCCTTTAATTAGTCTAATTGGGACTAGTCATGGCACTTACATGTTATTTCTCCTGACAATTGAGATTTTGATTTGATTTTCTGGAATATAAAAACATTTGAAGTGGTACAAAACCTTTCATCAAAAATGTGATGAAATATAATATCACAAAATATTAATATTTATTCATGTATTGTGTATTAAATGATTTATTAATTATACAATAACAATATTTTTTTATGAATTTCAAATGTTGAATACTGCATTCACTTTAATGGAAAACAAATAAGAAAAGACTTTTTATAGGACAATTTATTGCTGTATGTGTGAGTAAAGTGTGCATTTATATTAATTTCATTATATAAACTACTGATGAAACTTCAGTATTTCAGTACTGCTTATGATTAAAAGAAAAAAGATTTAGTTAAATAACAAAAAAAAAAAAAAAAAAGAAAGTTCAAGACAAAAATATTTAGCCCTCCTGTGAAATGTTGATTCCTTTTCAAATATTTCCCTATAGCAGTGTTTTTTTTTACAGAGAAAGGAATTTTCCCCAAAGTATTTCCTATTATATGTTTCTCCTGGAAAAAAGTCTTATTATTTTAGTTTGTCTGAAAAATAAAATAAACTGTATGCATAATGTGTGGGCCTCACAGCAAAAAAGATTGCTGTTTGAATTTCCGCTGGGTCAGTTGGCATTTCTGTGTGGAGTTTGCATGTTCTCCACGTGTTTCATCCGGGTGCTCCGGTTTCCCCCACAGTAGAAAGACAAGTGCTATAGGCAAATAGAGAAGGCTATATTGTCCGTAGCCTTTGGGGGTTTGATTAAGGGTTATCAAATAATTTTTTTAATAAATTATTTTTTAATAACTAAGGTTAATAATATTAGCCACCTTAAAAATTTATCATTTTTTTATTAACAAAAAAAAAAAGTTTTTGATTGGCTACAGAACAAACCACTGTTATCCATTGACTTGCATAATTAACATAACATGCCTAGTTAAACTAGTTAACATAGTTAGGCCTTTAAGTTGCATGGCAAAGACAAAAGAAATTAGTTGAAATTAGTTAACATGTCCTTAACTTTAGACAACACAATACCAGTGTTTTAACTTAAGAAGAAATCTTAATTTTTATTTTTAATTTGATGGATTTTCATTTCATACAATTTACAGTATTTTATGAATTGCATAGAATTATGCATGATATGGGGAATTAAGCATGCAAAATTTTAAGATGAAGAGTCACTGGTTTGCAACTGAGACAGCAAATGTGCTCATTCACAAAAATAAACACTGCTGCTTTTTATATATATATATATATATATATATATATATATATATATATATATATATATATTTTTTTTTTTTTTTTTTTTTTTTTTTAGTAAGCACTTTTTGAAAAATCTAATAATCTAAAGAACTTTATTCCTCAATAAAAAAAACCTACTGTGGAATTCATTCTTTGGATTTTAAATGTTCTTTATGGAACCAGCACTGCCTTTATTTCTAAAAAGTGTGATATCACTTGACCTTTAAAACGATTGTTTTATTGCAGATCTGAACATGATTGCAGTATTTGTAGGATTAAAACAAATGCTTCGAGTTAGACGGCACCGTTAGATTTATTCAGCCTTTACACTTCAGAGATATTCTTTTTCTATTAGTCTACTATAAACTGTTCTTTGATGGATTATAACACAAATCCATACAGACAGAAGCTAAAAATGATTCAATAATAACATTTCAAAACCATAATCTCTGCAAGAGAAGACAAAACGCTAACAAGCCTTGAATCGCATCTAAAGAATTATGCAAATGATGTTTTTGTTTTTTTTTGGCGTGTGGAATGATACTTTTATCGAGTAACACTCACTTCTCCGAGGAAATCATTTGAGGAGTATCTGTCATAATCCCACACAGTCACTTCCAGAGTCTTCTTCTTCAGCTGAGTCGAACACACACACACACACACACACACACACACACACACACACACACACACACACACACACACACACACACACACACACACACACACACACACAGAAAAAAAAACATAATTCATGAAGGCACAAACATCTTTTAACATGAAATCTAAGACTTAGTAAACAGCACAGCAGTGGCAGAAAAACTAGGTCAACTTTCAGAGTTTTCAAATATGGAGTGCCAAATTTGGATTGCATATATGGGACACTTGGGGGACGCGACTGTGATGTAACTTCCCTTGTGCCTTAGACAAGTTTAATTACATGTTATAAGTTCGGTGCATAGCTCTTGAACTATATATAATGTTACGTATAGCTAAAGAGAGATGAAAGATAAATTCCACATGAAAGATGCCTGCCTGAAAACAATAATAAGATAGTATTCAGGTCCATAGCCAGCCTAATGAAAGGGGTGGTTAGTTTTTTTTTTTTCTCCAAAAGTGGACCTTTTTGCAGTTTTGCCTCATTTTCTATTTAACTTTTTTTCTTCTAATTTGCATTTTTGTGACATTTTAAGCACATTTTTTCTGACTTAGCTTGTTAGATGGTCATCAGAACCACAATTTTCGATGCACCAAAAACATTTCGTAAAGATTTAAAATAAAGTAATATATATATATATATATATACTTATTTACACTTATTATTTTTTAAAACACAAACTTAGCACATCATATATCATTAGAAAATCTGTTAAAGTTTTAAATTAAAAATGGTTTGGTCTATTGTAATTTATTATGCAAATAAAAAATGGCCAGTATTCAACTTTCCTCATTCAGAATTTGGCCATTTAAAAAATAAAAAATAAATCATAATAATGTAGAGCTTCCCAATTTTCTAGCCTCTCTTTTAAAAAAAAACATTTGAAAATTCAGAGACAACAACAATAGCCTAATTAGTATTAAAATTAGCTTTTTGTTTCAAGAATAAAGTCCAGGATTTAGAATAAAAGTTACTTTTAAAATGTTTTCTCTATTCAACAACAATACAGTCGGTCAGTAGTGAAAGACAACTTCATTTATGTCAGATTTCTGTCTAAACGCTTTCTTCAATATGTTACTTTCACTATATATGATGGCAAAATGTATGGGAAAATTCTGGACCTTTGCCAGTGGAGGCACAAAGTCCAAAAACATGTGGTATAAGTGAAATGGGTAGGCTAAATTGACCGTATTGTATGTGCGTGAATGAGTGTGTATGGATGTTTCCCAGTGATGGGTTGCAGCTGGAAAGGCATCCGTTGCGTAAAACATATGCTGGATAAGTTGGCGGTTTATTCCTTTGTGGCAACCCCAGATTAATAATACAATATAATATAATAATTATAACAAATGTAATAATTATAATATAATATAATATAATATAATATAATATAATATAATATAATATAATATAATATAATATAATATAATGCTGATTAATTTAATGTTAAATACTTTTTCAAAAACCTTTTACTAAAAAAAAAGTTCTAATATGTATGTATAGTAAACAAATACAAGTACTTACCTGCTCCAGATGTATGTTTTTGTAAATGACTGTCTGGTTCCACTCTGGGTTCTGGGTCTTCTGGATATATTTAGTCCTCCTCTTGTTCTCAGCACTGTGAGGTAACCATGTCGAGACAAGATACATGGAGCAATAAACTTAGAGCGTGCATAATGTATTTTTAGCCACACTTGAGTACAGCGGAGTTTCATAAAGAGATGACCTCACACGAGGCAACACTGATGCATCTACGGTCCATGCCACCAATGATGATGATGACATTACCAGACCACAGAGTCAAATGTAGAGAAATGCCTGCTTCTACATGAGTACATGAGCAATTTATGCAAGCATACAGTACAGCAGCGCCAGACTCTTACAATGAGCTGATGTGAATTTAAACAATGGTTGCACATCTGTACTTGAAGGTTCACTGAAGAGCCTTGAAATGTGCAGTTTTGTTCGAAGCGTCAGGTGGTTACAGCTGAAACATGCAGACAGGATTGGACATATCGGGTAGCTCCTCCCCTTTTTAAAAATAGGCAATAGTGTTTTGTTTACAGTATATGACAGACAGCTTAGCGTATTGAGCTAAAGTGCATCTGACTCATGACATGCACAATCAACATCATAATAGCAATGCTGAGCCTGTCTAAATGCTTCTCCTATTTAAAATACAGCATTCAGTGTAATTGATTTGCACAAATGATCTGCTCTTTGCTATTGTGCAGAGCAGACATGTGTTTACATAGGGGCAGTTTGTGTGACACTAACACAAAACCAGCCTTTATTCATCCTATTGTTAATGGTAATGCACTGTAAAAAAATGCTGAGTTCCACACAATTGATTTGTGTTGGGACAACATGAGGGAATTAATTTCACTTATTAGTTTTAACACATTTAAGTAAATTAAACATAAAACTATTAAGTTGCCCCCTCCAACGAGTGATTTAAACCATGTTCTAAATCAGTGTTTCTCAACTGGTGGGTCACGACCCAAAAGTGGGTCGCGGGAACAATTTCAGTGGGTCGCGGAATGTGTGTTCAAAAAAACAAAACAAAAAAAAGTAACATTTTTTACATATTTTGCTTACACCGGACTTTTATTTTGAAATGCATGCGCAACAACCCTACCGTTTGACATGTGTATAAAAAACTTAAAGCCTCAGTGTCATATGTAGTGAGGTGCTCTCATAAGAGAGCATGAAACCTTCTAAATTAAAACAACATTTAGAAACCAGAATTTTTTTTTTTTTTTTAAGTTTATTATTAACAGTATTTGTCGTTTTTACTTTGTAATATTTCTACAATTTGATCCATTTTGTTAAATGACAGCAATAAAATAGTCTTTATTTGTAAGTCTTGGTGAATTTCTTATGATGTATCTGTCACTACTTGTTTATGTTAACAAATAAATACAAATTAAGTATAATTCCTAAAAGTGTATTATAGTTCCTAAAAATTTGGTTGACCATGTAAAAATGTGGGTTGAATGGCCAAACCAGTTGAGAACCCCTGCTCTAAATAAAAGCAACAGCACCCGGAATATTTTCCATATTAAAAGGAATTTTTGTCCTAACCAACTCCACGAATTTATATATTAGAAATGGTTTCTCACCTAATGTTTACACTCATAATATTTATTATTTTATTTGTTATAATTTTTTTGCTAAATAATAACATTATGAACCGAATCTGCATCTCATTTCGGAGTCTGCTTTCAAAGCCTTTCTGAATGAATGAACGAAATGTCAAACAAGAATGTTCACTGAGCGTGTTTCTTAAATATCTGCAAACATATTATGGTATTTTTATGCTTTAGAAGAGTCAAAAACTTACAAACAACACCTTTAAGAAACAGTTTATATATACAAATATATTTGAATCTTGATCAGGAGGTAACATTTGATTCTGATCGAGTCTGAAACTGCATGATCAGGCCCAATTTCTGATCACGTGATCAGATTTGGACATCTCTTTAGGCAAACCCTCGGTATGAATTCTTGAGTGCATGTGAATAAATGACGGATTTGAGCTATGTTTTGTTGAGTGCAGGACACCTCACATACTACAGAATTCGAAGGACAAGGTGAGGAACAAAGACATATCTCATCCATATAGGCGAACTGAAAACATCTTTGTTTTGGAGTATGCTAGATAATTTTAAGACACTAATGCCCAAAATGCTTTCAGTTTGACTTCATGCAGACTATAATGCAGTAATATCTGGCTTTGAGGGAACCGTTTCAAGAATGTATGGCCTTGCCATGAAAAAAATTGAGAGGTAGAGGTTGCTTTGGTAAGAAATTAGGAAATAATTCCTATTGGCGGAACTGAAAGCTCCATATTTTGAACATTGTTATATTTTCTATGTTATATATCTTCTAAATCCAAATGTCCTTGTTTTGGAGCATGCTAGATAACTTTACGACTAACATATTGACACTAATGCCCAAAATGCTTTATATTTCATTTCATGCAGACTATAGTGCAGTATTAACTGGCTTTGAAGGAACCGTTTCAAGATTGTATTGCTTTGCTGTGAAAAACTTCAGAGGTAGAGGTTGCTTTGATGAGAAATAAGGAAATAATTCCTATTGGCTGACCTGAAAGTTCCATACTTTGAACATTGTTATGTTTTTTTCTAATGTTATATATCGTCTAAACTCAAATGTCCACTTGTTTTGGAGCATGCTATATAACTTTACGACTAACATATTGGCACTAATGGCCAAAATGCTTTCTATTTGATTTCATGGAGACTATATTGCAGTAATAACTGACTTTGAGGAAATCATTTCAATAATGTATTGCCTTGCCGTGAAAAACTTCAGAGGTAGAGGTTGCTTTGAGGTAGATCTGAGACACTTCACAGATGACACTTTCACCACATGAATGACATCGAAGCAATGAAAGAAAAGAGAAACACATACCCACACACACGCACAGCAATGAAACAAAGCAAAATGAACAGAAAAAGAATCACCACGCTACCTTGCGTTCTGGACAACCATGACTTGGCTGAACCAATCCGGAGATTTGTATGGTGTGCAAAGTAAAAGTAGACAGACAAACAGACAACAGTCAGAGAATCCTGCAGGAAGGGCAGACAGAAAACCCTCTGAAAAGTTGTCGTCCGGGTTGGAGTTGAGCTTTTAGCACCAGGATCATCTGTGCAGGTAATAGGAACTAATTTCATAAACACTGCAGATATGGCCATTAGGAGATGGCAGATAGCATTACACACCCATACTGGTGGAAGCCATATCGATTGTCCTGTCTCCGCAGGCCGAGACACTGAGCTTGATTACTAGGTAGCATGTTAAGAGAGGAAGGCTAAGCTAATAAAAATTGACTTCTCTAAAGAAGATCTCTTCCACTTTAGCCTTCCAATAAGTCATTTCCGTACTAAAGAGGTGAGGACGTCTACTCAGAAAGGGAGACCTTTGAGAACACCAGACATGTTATTTTGCCGGTGTTTTGGCTTATTATGAAACACGTTTATTCTACTGAAATTATTAACATTATGGTGAAAGGAACATTTGATTTATTTTTCTCTGTAATTAATTAGCCATTAAAAAAAATTATTAAAAAAAATTGTTTCACTTTAGATGTAGAAAATTGGCTGGTGAAATCACAGGCAGCAATGCAAAGTTTGTTAACTTTTTATTAACTTGCAAGGATTTCTAATTATGTGTTTCTTGTATATATATATATATATATATATACTGTAAACTTATTTACACTTATTATTTTTTAAAACACAAACTTAGCACATCATATATCATTAAAAAATCTGTTAAAGTTTTACATTAAAAATGGTTTGGTCTATTGTAAATTTTTTTTATTTTATTTATACATACACAGTATATTTATATTTTTATTTATATATACACAGTATATTTATATTTTTATTTATATACAGTATATATATATATATATATATATATATATATATATATACACACAGTATATTTATATTTTTTATTTTTATATACAGTATATTTATTTTAATTTATTTATATACAGTTGATGTATATTTTTTATTTATATATGCAGTTTATATATTTTTATATATACACAGTGTATTTATATATATTTATATATATACAGTATATTTATATTTTTTGTTTATATATACAGAATATTTACATATTTTTAATTTATTTAAATACAGTTTATGTATATTTTTTTATATATACAGTTTATTTATATATTTTTATATACACACAGTATATTTTTATTTTTATTTTTAAATACACAGTATATTTATATGTTTTATTTATGTATATAAATAGTATTTTTATATTTTTTGTTATATATACACAGTATATTTATATTTTAGTTATATTTAAACAGTATATTTATATTTTTATTTATATACACAGTATATTTTTATTTATATAAACATAGTATATTTATATATTTTATTTATATTTACAGTATAATTGTATTTATGTATACACAGTATATATATTTTATATATACACAGTATATTTATATTTTTAGTTATATATACAGTATATTTTATTTATATAAACACAGTATATTTATATTTTTATTCATATATAAAGTATATTTATATTTTTTATATACACAATATATTTATATTTTTTATTTATATACATACACAGAATATTCATATATTTTTTATATATAAACAGTAAATTTTTATTTTTTATTTATATATACACTGTACATTTATATTTTAAATAGTGCTCAGGGGTAGCTCAATTAATGTGTCGGTGCCCTTTGGGCAAGGTACTTGTGGAAATGTGGAAAAAATATTAAAAAGTTTTTATTGACATGGCTATTCTTTAACACTGTGCCTATATATTTCGTCAAACACTTGTTCATCAGGTAACGATTACTTTTATGTTTTATGCTTAATATACATTCATTCAACTAATTTATAACTAATATATATATATATATTTTTTTTTTTGCCTTCAGCGATGTTTTACCATACTCATGAGTACACCCAGAATCTTAATACTAAAGGGAAAAGATGATTTCTGGAAGGCCAGGAGAAAAGCGACAACGGAAAATATAAAATTAAATAAAACCGGGGGAAAGAAATCACTGAAAATAACTAAAAAAATCTGACAGTAAATCAAACACAATTACATAAACACTTATATATGTAGACAAGAACAAACATAAAACAAACATTTGTCTCTCTAAATATTTCATTCAGCACACTTACACTCACTTACTTTAACACTATAACGCACACACACCCAAACTTACACACACACACACACACCTACAGATACTCACCCTCTGCCTGGTAAGAGATAGACTTTGACGAAAGGGTCTGTGTATCCGTTGTTTTCTCTCGGAGCGAGGTTTCTTGCTTGTAGCACGTGAACAATCAGATTGCCCATATTCCTGTCGTAGTTGATTTGAAGCTGAGGGACAGATTTATTATGAGATGCATAATACCAGCAATCCACTCAAATTTGATTTCACTGTAGAATAAGCACCAAGATGCTGCCATTTAAATCCAATAAGGCAGTCAATGCTGAAGTGAGTCACTAGTGCTGATACATCATAATCTAAATGTAATGTGTCTCAAATGTCATATTTCAAAGGCCTTTGTAGATTTGTAGTAATTCTATATGGTGACATATTTAAATCAATTTTATATAACACTAACAGGCAAGAAAATTGATTTTTAATGTTTAATTTTTAGGAATTTTGAATTAAATGTAATTAATCTAATTCTAATTTATATTATTATTATATAGACGGCACTGTGCCTAAGTGGTTTGCACTATCGCCTCACAGCAAGAAGGTTGCTGGTTCAGCTGGGCCAGTTGGTATTTTAGTGTGGAGTTTGCACGTTCTCTCCGGTGTCCTCCGGGTGCTTTGGTTTTCTCCACACCTTAAAGATTGTTGCTATACGTGGATTGGGTAAACAAAATTGGCCATAGTGTATGAGTGTGAGTGATTGTGAGAGCATATTGCTGTTTCCCAGTACTGGGTTGCAGCTAAAGGGTATCAGCTGCTTAAAACATGTGCTGGAATAGCTGGTGGCCTATTCCACTGTGGCGACTCCTAATGAATAAGGGACTAAGCCGATGGAACAATGAATTAATAAATGAATTATTGTCATGTTATAGTATCATCTAATTTATAATCATTATGTATTATTATTAGGCCCACATGGAATCTGTGCCCGCAGAAATCCTCAGATTTCCACAGATTTTTAGTCTGTAATTGAGTCTATTTATTTACTTAAATAATGTGTGTAAATATGTGTATATTTGTATTTATTTAGTTTTTAAATTAATTTCACTAATATTATAGTGATATAATTATTTACAACACAGTATGTAAAGTATCATTTTATGTCTTTTACTAGGTATATTATATGAGAGACTTGTTTGTTTACCAAATGAGTGGATTTAATTGCATACTCCCAAAATTATTCTGTATAAATATGATTTTTTTGTTGCAAAATACTCAGCAGAAATAGTTATTGTTATTATTATTATTATTATTATTATTATTATTATTATTATTATTATTATTATTATTATTATTTTTACATTTATATCCTAAATTCTATATAATTTTAGTGGATGGTTTTAATAAATTTAAGAAAAAAATGTTTATTAAAAAAAAGAATAGATTTCATCAACTAAAGCTTATAAAATATTTAATTAATTTTATTACAAAGTCACTACTTAAAAAAAAACAACAACATTGCATTAATAAATGCATACAGTACACTTTCCAAAACAAACTTTTTGCAGACATTCCAAAGCTTGGTCCAAAAAAAAAAAAAGAAAACTGTTATTTAGTTACTTAATCAAGTTATAACAGTCTGTTTTGCACGAGTCAAAAAAAAAAAATCCTTATTCCATATCTAAAATTAACAGTAGAATACAAAGTATTTTACTGTACAATGTACACTGTTAAAAGTAGTATATACTCACTTGTATGTCACCAGTGATTGGATGCGGTTGTGGCTTCAGGGCCTCTGCTGACTGAAAAAAAAAGAAAGAAAATTAATCCCTTCCTGCTTTAATTCTTATTTTCACTTCTCCAATTAGACACAGCATGCAGTAAGAAGCATGTGCAAAAGTTCCCAAACAGTACCTTGCTGCTGTGGCGTTTCTTGCTGACGGATGGGGAGCCAGGCTGCCCGGGACTGGGGACTCCACTGGATGCAGCAGATCCGGGTCCCGAGTGCAGGTGTCCTGCTCTCTCCAGGGCAGACAGAACTGATGCTGGACCCTGTTGTTGAGACACCTTCTGCAGCTCCGCCGCCAGCTGCTTTGGGTCCACGCCTGGAGAACGCTGACGCTCACCTACAACACAAAGACATATCATAAACGCGACACTGAACAAATACTCTACAACCCACTGATCAAATACAAACACCTCTTCAATGATTAAGAGTTCTGTCCATCACACCATACTAAACCTTTTTTTTTAATAAGATTTTTTTAAGGTGCTGCTTTTCATAAGATGTTAAATTAATCTGGTATCCCCAAAATTTGCATGTGAAGTTTCAGTTCAGAACACATCACAAATCAAGTTCTACAGCAGTGGATCTCAACCATGTTCCTGGAGGACCACCAACACTGTACTATTTCATAGGCAAAAATTGACTTTGTATATAATTGTAAATTATTGATTGGGTGATAAGGCGACACGGTGGCTTAGTTGTTATCATTGTTGCCTCGCAGCAAAAAGGTCGCTGGTTCGAGCCTCAGCTGGGTCAGTTGGCATTTCTGTGTGGAGTTTGCACGTTTCCTCCGGGTGCTCCGGTTTCCCCCACAAGTCCAAAGACATGCGCTATAGATGATTTGGGTAAGCTAAATTGTCCATGGTGTATGTGTGTGAATAGTTGTGCCGAAATAGTTGGCAGTTCATTCCACTGTGACAACCCCTGATGAAATAAGGGATTAAGCCGAAGGAAAATTAATGATGGGAGATTGCTGTGTGATTTTGCTGGATCTTAAGTGATTGACAACTTATCCTGTGCATCTTTTTTTCTTTCCTGAAGCTGTGGTAATTAAATGTATGTCACAATAAAGAATTTCCATTTAAATGATAATAGCTTATAAAAAAGGTATCAAGGTGTACAAATTAAGGAAATACAGTATAATAAACTGTTATTTTCACTCACCAGCTCTTAGCTGATTGTGGAGCTCCAGTTGTTGAGGCTGTTCTGTGTTGGAGAGCATGTTTAAGTCTCTAAACAACAGTCCAGATAAAAACTGCATTAGCAAATCAGCTTAAAGACCACAGCCACTGTAGGACATAATTGATCATTAATTCAACATACTATTACTCAGCGTTAAAGATGACACACACTAGATGCTGAAAGGTCTGTGAAACTACATACACTTACAAAATTAGAAGTACAGTAATACTACAGTACAACGCGGTAAATCTCAGAATCGTGTAATGCTAAAGATCAGAAAAGTATTTGAATCAATTACATTTTAAAAATGGAAATTATTTACTTGAAATTATGGCAATATTTCATAACGTTACTCACTTTTATTGTGTTTTACATTAAATATAGCATTGGAGACTGATTTAAATTTTTTTTAAACATTTTGAAAATCTAAATTCATTATTACAGTTATAAATATAAACTACTTTTAAAATATGTTAAAAGAAAATGTATATATTTACATAGTATCAAATCCCTTTTGAACAGGATTATGCATGCCATACACAAACATGGCATTGTCCTGGGACTTCACTAATAGTGCGGTGGAATATGCTTGTACTGTAAATATTGAATACATTTTTGTAACTTACAGTCGCACACATACGTCTACTTCTCCATTCTGCTGACCCACAATGCTCTGCACTTCTTCATATGTTTTTCCAAGCAAAGAGATTCCATTCCACTCCAGAACCTGCATTCCTAAAAACACAACACATCATCGAAGTCAAATACTTGTATTCATTTAGAATAGCAAAATCTAACGGGGTGATGACAAATATTTTTTTGTACATGGCTTTAATATTGTTTTATTATGTTGTTACGTTGTCATGTATTGTTAATTGCCGGCTTTAATATTACATTAATATGCAATGTGGATCCCCTTTCAGCATTAGTTTGAGAGATTTTTTCATCCTTGAGTAAAAACAAACAGAAGCAATTTTGTTTAGTTTGTCCTGTGCTGTGAAAAAAAACAGAGGTATAAACCAAACCGTCCTTTCTGTGTACCGTTATACTAAAAACAGACACTCTCACAGCATCATAGCCAAAACAAACATTGTGTGCCTGCAGATTGTTATGGAAAGTCACCGCATGGTTATTTTTAAAAATCTTCAAATTGAGAAGCACAGTTTGTTTTAGTGCGTCACTAAGAAAAAGCAAAGCACTTTGTTTTGGGAAAACATTGTCAAAAACTAATATGACACTCCCACACAGACAGGCAGATAGATAATGTCGTAATTCCTGAGAGAAATATCTTTAGAAAAAAAACGATCACTGAATTACCTACAGTACATACATAAATGCATGCGCTGTTATTCCATAACATGCTTCCTTGAGCACACACTCACTACAAGAGCAGCAGAGACAGAAAAAAATGCAGAAAAGACAGAAAGTAAGGGGGGGAAAAGTATTTGAAAGCATCACAGCAAACTCAAGCCCACTTCAGGCCAAACCGCAGGCACTTACACAAATGAAAGCGAGTCTTCAAATAGGTCTTTTGCATACGGAGTGCTTCAGCTGCTGATAACAACAGGACATCACTCATTCAAATGTCTGTTCATCTCTTCAGAATCAGTCCAAATGCCTCTCAAATGCAAACCCCCAGTCATATCTTCATACCACTCTGCAAGATTATCACTGGCCAAAACCATTACTTCAGCTTTGAAGTCATATCTGAATGCTTCATGCATAATTGGGAATCAGATTCGGTTATTTTGCTGAACATGTTGTGCGCTATACAGACGAGCATTCAAAATCATCCTTGAAAAGGCTTTTAGACTTTATTTTTAACTTTTATTCATGCTACATTTGAATCATGTCCCAACATATGTGCATATACAGTTTCATTATTAATATTTTATTACAGATCCATACATAGGATGAATACAATACAGAGTATTACATTAGTGCATATACTGTACATTAGTTCAGTCAGTACTGAAGTCAAATCTGGAGCTGATCTAACAAAATAATTGATGATAATGTTTCAAATATTTGGACACTCAAATTTATATGTTAGGAAGAAAATATGAAATAAAAATGTTAAAAAAACAAAAAGTAAAATCAAGAGAAACAAAAAAATATTTATAAAATATATTGTTGAAATTTTGTAGATTGTAATTCACTAAATTTTCCACTTGAGTTTAAATGTATTATCGGTTAAAACAAATCGATTAAGTTAACACTTTTTACAAATTTATGTGGATTGACAATAAAAAAAGTTGTCCCAATGAAATCTAAAGAATTGTATTGTTTCAGCTCATTTTAAATGAATAGTTTGAAAAAAGTAGTAGTAGTAAAAAAGTATATATTTTTTGAGTGTGTATATGGCTATTACATGACCATAATATACTGCGATATAGCTTGGTTCGATAGTTCGTTGGAACATTTTGCTTTCTCCCTACAATCGATCTGCTCCAGAGTACTTTTTAATCGAGCCGAGACCACCTCATTCAGTCGATCTCTGACTGATTGATTTGGTTCAGATCCGAGCATGATTTCTGAATTCACATACGCCAAACGAACCGTTCTGACTAAGCAAATGAGATTGGTTCTGAAACAAATGTGTAGGTGCGATAGCATCCTGTATTGCAAGATTTAAACTTGTGAGATGCAATGAAATTACAAGCTTATAACTCACAACTATTATGAGATTTTTAATGAGAAACCAGCAGTTTCAAAAACTCAAAAAATGGGATATGTACCCCCAAAGGCAAAAACAAAAGTCTGAATCATGAAATGAATAAGCATTTTTTTTTAATAAAACGTATTATTTTCTGCACATCATGCATGCTTTGAGTTTGTACATTGGAGTACATGGATATGAGTATTCACTGTGCGACACTGTGTGCATTGAATTCCTGGCCCAGACAATATCACTGCTACAGCTATTAAATCTGTAAAATTACACCTTTTCCATGGTGCCAGCTGATATTATTGCACTGTATCAAGGGAATGCATGCTTAAGATAGAAAACAGATGCTTGTGTAATCTACCAGCAGATTGCTGTTTGCAATTTTCATACATAAAAAAACAAAAAACAAATAAAATATACAAAAGCATTGGCATTATAAAAGCAAAATAATTAATATAAAGAGTCTTGGCTAAAATCTCAAGTTTTGAAAGAGTACAAATTAAACAAGCAAAAGCATGTTCAGGAAGCTGAGCTGCTCTCAGTGGAGCTGATCTAAATTGACAGAGCCTGCTGAGCCAGCGTAGTCAACAAGGAGAGCAATCATACTGCATCCCCGCTGAAATGAGAAATGGCCTCCCAAATCGGGTTTCTTTTGATAGAATACTGAATGCTCAAAATACTTGAATGGATGTGCTGACGTGTGCTTAAAAAATAAATATTATGTTGTAATAAATAGGGATATGACACCACAATTCCGTTTTAGACCAAATTTTCACCTGGATCACTTTTGCTTGATCAGATAACTTAATATCAGGTTTAAACAGAGCTTAAAATAAAGATAACTCTGACAACTGTCCAAAGCATATTTCACACAGACAAAATTCCTTATTATTAATTACACTCCCTGACAAAAGTCTTATTGCCAATCCTAGTTGTAAAAGCAACACATAATAATTTGACTTCTAGTTAAATTAGAAAAATGGCAGAAGGTAAAACTTTTCAGATGAATCATCAGTTAAACTGCATCCCAGTAATCAAAAATACCTCAGATTCTAACAGAAATCAGTCAAGTTTAGTGAAGGAAAAATCATGGTTTGGGGTTACATTTAGTATGGGGGCGAGAGATCTGCAGTGGATGACAACATCAACACCCTATCAAGACATTTGCGCTGCCCATTACACTACAAACCACAGGAGAGGGCAACTTGCCATGGGTGAACTATCCATGTAATGTTCAAGGACAGAATAACATGCAATAGAAGTTCCTACCTTCTACGACTTTCCCCGTTTGCTCAGCATATCCTCCTGCTGAAACTTTGGCGATGTAGGCTCCGATCTCTCTGTTGGTTCCTGGAATCTCTTTTCCACCCACGACTCTGATTCCCAGCCCACTCCCTGAAATTATGCAGATTCAGTTTAGCTGATAAATGGCCAAGTAATTGGATCCTAATCAGAGCATCTCAGTATTGTGATCTTTTCATCAATACATTGTCCACGAGATAGATTGCCATGTTTGTTTTGCCTTTCCTTTCAGTAATTTAGTTTGCAGGCCTAATTGACTACACTCCGCTGTGTATTTTGCAGAGTAATTGCTGAGAAACATACCTGAGACACTGTGGTCCTTGGGGTCCCGTTGCAGTTTGATGCGAGTGTGTGGGAAGGGGTAATGGCTGCCTTTCATCTGCAAAAACGAAAACACAGAAGCAAATAACTGAATAATTAATGAGCTGTGCTTTTTGCAATAGCTACATGCATGCAGATGCAGTTTGCTGTTCGGCCCATGTGGTTGCATGGAATAACTTTATTGTTACCTATCAGATTGTAAGCTAAGCTTTACTGTACATTTATTCATGCATAATACAGCACTGTCCAGTTAAGGCTAGATGACTGTGGAGGTTTTCAATGGATATATTATTCAAGGTCTATTCTGTACCTCAGGTGTCTCACCCACTGACTGTTGGCTGAATGCCTGATGCATAAAGCCAACAAGGTGCGATAAACCTCAGGATTTTTGAAGGTGTCATCGTATTGATTGAAAACTAGTTCATTTCCAGGAAAAAAAAAATGGTGTGTTTACAAGTATAACAACGAACACTATAAACGAAATCTACATTTTCGAAAGTTCACAGCATAGACTCTTGACATAAGAAGACATGGTTCTTAAATGTGCTATTTATTTGTGCATATGAGTCTGTAATTATTGGTGTAAGTCCTTTAGATTCCTTATTAATGAGCCCACCTCCAATACCTGAAAATATTTCATTTAATCCAGATTTGAGAAGAATGAGTAGAATTGGTGATGTTACACTGATGCCTTGACCCATATGGGAATAGGGTTTGGTGATAAATGTAATAGAAACGCCAGAAAATGCTGGGTTTACACCAAAAGGGAAATTAAGTATTTGATCGATGAGGGTATACAGTTGAAACCAGAAGTTTACATACAGTACAACGTATAAAAAGGCACATAACCATTTAAAAAAAAAGTCAGATGTTAATATGACTAAACCTTTACTCTTTTAGGTAAGTTAGGATTATCCTATTTGTTTCTTTAATGCTTAATAGCAGAATAATGCGATAGATATTTTTTTAAAAATTGTTGTAACTAAGTTTACACAAAATAAGATTATTCTGCCTCTGAAAAAGCTCAGATGATGGTGTCAAGGTTTTAGAAGTTTCTGATTGGCTAATTGACAACATTTGAGTTAATTGGAGGAATAGTGTAGAATACTGTAAAATAGTATTTAAGAAAAACTACAAACACACTGTTTCCTTTTGTGACAACATTGGAAAATCAACAAGCCAGTATCAACAAAAAAAAAAAAAACCCTGATTACAATTTGCTAAATTACACTGGGAAAAAAAATAATGTTTGGTTACATGTCCTGTGGTCTGATGGAACTAAGATTGAACTGTTAGGCCACAATGACCAGTGTTATATTTGGAGGGCAAAGCGGAAAGCTTACAAGCCTAGGAACACCATCCCAACTGTGAAGCATGGGGTGGCAGCATCATGTTGTGGAGCTGTTTTTCTGCAGGAGGGACTGGTCCACTTCACAGCATAGATGGCATCATGAAGAAAGAACATTATGTAGAAATACTGAAGCAACATCTCAAGAAATCAGCCACAAATGGGTCTTCCAAACAGACCATGATCCTAAGCATACAGCCAAATTAGTTAAAATGTGCTTTAAGGACAACAGAGTGAATGTTTTGAAGTGGCCATCACAAAGCCCTGAGCTCAATCCTATAAAAAAATGTGTGGGCAGAGTTGAAAAAGCAAGATAGCCTACAAATCTGACTCAGTTACACCAATTCTGTCAGGAGGAATGGGCCAAAATTCCTTCAAACTATTGTGAGATGCTTGACCAAAGTTATACAGTTCAAAAGCAAATGTAAAAAAATACCAAGGAAATGTATGTAAAGTTTTGACTGTCTAGAAATTAATTAAAAAATTCTCAAACAAAAAGAAATTATCTTAAAATTCTGGCATTTAGCAAATGAAAATCATTTAGGTAATTCTAACGGACCTAAAACAGTACACGTTTAGTATGGTTTACCACCAGACAATTTTTTTTTTTTTTTTTTTTGAGTGTATATAAACGTCTGGTTTCAACTGTATATGTTGTGGAATGCACAATGCATTTCCTGCTAATATGCAGAATTAGTTTCAATCGTGTCTTTTCCATAAGTTTCAATAATTCAACTCAAGTGGAAAATTAGCTTGAGGTAAAAAAAAACATCCCGCAAGTAAACTAGAGCAAGTGACAGTGCTCCACTTTTGTTATGAACCCAACGTAAGAGTCACATTTGTAGTGCACCGGTGCCCATGCAGGAAAACACTGTTGCAAATCCAGTTTAGAGCAAGTGAGAAGGAAGGAGTTACATTGGTGCCATGACCCAAATGGGAATAAATTTTGGGGTATTGGGGGTGAAAGTTGAACAAGTGAACATCTCTATACTGTCCTTAAGAGGTTTCTTGTTAGTGCACTGAGCTCTTACGTAGGAGAGCACTGTTTTGATTGGTTTGAAATTCTGTTTGGAGCAGTATAAACTTAACAGGAAGAGATAGATAGGGGAGTTGTATTTGCATGCCCTAAAACATGACTCTGAACAAAATAATAATTGGTTGCTTTACTTCCCTGTTTAAAAAAACTGAATATTGGGTATGATTAAAGCATTGCTGTATTAGCTGGTTTACATTGTTTCTAAGCTGGTCATTGTGTGCTGGTCCTGAGCAGGAGTTGCTTAGGACAAGCAGAATCAGCTCATGACCAGCTACAAATCAGTTTAAACCACTCTTCAAAACCTAACTAGCATTTTTTTATTCAAAAGTGTTAGAAAAATAGCTCTTGGGCAGGAATAGATTGAAGACCTTCTGCCGTCAGTCTAAAAAGTTCACTTATGTGAAATTCTTCAAAAGATTTTAGAGCTGCATCCTATGTGGAAACATCACAGTCACCCTGTGGGTGCAGTTTACCTGTCTTCTGTCAGGCCCAGACTCTGGTCCACCACGTCCCTGGCGGGGTTTGTCAAACCAGTCTGTCTCTTCATGCTGAAGGTGATATGCTAGAAGAAAGGAAGAAAGCAGCCACTGTACCATCACAAGTGACAAAACAGGGGCATGTGTCCCACTCCATCACTTTCTCTCCCAGACAACCATCTCTTCACCACCCCCAGTTGGGGACACTTTCTTGCTGGAGTGTTTGAACTGACAACTTGAAGGATTTGGGTCAGAGCTTCCAAGAGCAATCACTGTGTTAAAAGGACACCAACCTTTGTTCTTACATGGCCTCAAATTGAGAATGCTCGATTAGATTAATGCTACATGTGCTAATTATCTGGACCCCGGGGGAAGCGGTGACAGAGAAGGGTGAGGGCAGAAAAAGCAATGATCTGAGACGTGTTTGGTGCATGCATACATGAACATGCACGCTGTGTCCCAGCAGGACCGGGCTACATGTCATGCGTCGAGATTTTGATAGAGAACTGCTGTGGGTCTGAACCACAGCAGATATACGCACATACACACACCATCATACAAGAGTGTGATGATGAGATGTCTTACCATATGTCTGATGATTAGTAAACTTTTAGTTAGTACAATCTCTAGGACACTAGTTAAACTATAAAAATTGATCACTACTCAAGACAAAACCACAGCTTCTGCACTATGAAACCAGACTTTCATGATGCTAATACATAATTTATGAAGGTCAAACTACTACATACGTTCTTAATATGGATGTCCAGATTCGATCACATGATCGGAAATCGGGTCCAATCATGGAGCATATCTTTTTTCATTATATTTTAACACATCTATTGATATGTCAGGACAGAGTTAGACCTCTTTCTTGACTTCACACAAAAACCGCAACGCGTGTGGCATGACATCACTTTGTTACAGAGATGCTATTGGTTAAATGCCAGCAAAGTAGAACAAAGAAGCAGTATGTCTGCTGTCTGGAGGTATTATAAAATTGAAGACGACAACATTGCCATAGCAAACTGTGAGATTTGTAAACTTGGGATTGCCTGCCGGGTATTTTACAGTAGGTTGAGGTGCTATTTGTTTTTATATTAGATTTGTTCAATATTTACTGTTGCACTAAAGTCCAAAAGTGAAGAGTTTATATTAATTATTACTTGATTGTTCAAGCTACCTCACAGGAGTGCTGTTTATTAACAGTTGTTGAATGTTAAAATAATGATGGTTATTTAAATAAAAAAATAAAGAACATCCCGGATCTGTTTCTTCGCTCTTCTTTTTTCTATTTTAATGCATTATAGAAGTATCGAATCGACTTTCGGTATTGGTAGATAATCCAAATCAAATGACTCAGACTCGAGGGCAAAAAAAAAAAAAAACCTGATTGGAACATCCCTAGTTCTTAATAAGTGTTTTCATCTTGTTTTTCATTACAAATATTTTATAAAGAAAACATTCCTAAAGATAAATTTAGTTGTGATGCACAATTGTTAAAATAAGACTTATCTTTATAAATCTGTCATTAAAATAATTGTTACCGTCTGGCAAAATAAAGGTTCCTAAAGGTTTATTTTTTCTTACAGCAATGCCATTGAAAAACTGTTATTGGGCTCCCAATGAATCTATCAGTGGGCAGAACCAGCCTGATCTGCTGAGAAAACATAAGTATTTTATGTTTTCTCAGTTTAGTGGCTAATTTCAGGAAAATGTACGAAAATGTACAATTTTAAAAAGGAGGCGTGGCACCCAACCCCACCCCTTACCCCAACGGTCAATAGGGATGAGCAAATCGTACTAAATTGTACGAATTTGATTGTATAAATTAATATGAATTAGCCACTAAATCAATAGGGTACGAATTGTCGTAAGATTGCGTTGGCAGAACTTATCAATAATTTGATAATATTTATATATATTTTAACTACAATGAACCTTTGCACAATAAAAGTTTGGTATCAATTTATTTTGATGGTCCCTTTAATTCATTTTGTTGAATTTAAGTTTCATTGCTTCTACATGCCAGCTAATTCTTAGTAGATTATAAGTAGACTGTTATTGGGGTTATTGGGGTTAGTGTTAGTGTGTTGACATGTACTTGCAAAGTAACTTATAGTCAGATAAATGTCTGTTGAAGAAGTATCAGCAGATATTAAGCAGACAGTCAAAGATTACTCAACTGAGAAGGAATTGGCATGTAGTTGCAGTTAAACAGTTACTTATTCATCAGGGAAGCAAAAATTCGATGAATGAACTTTTAAGAGTATAAGCAATATGCATCATTAAGATATGCATTTGAGTTTCTCAAGTAAATTTATCCCTTTTTAGGAATGTTTGGATATTTTTATTAGAAAAACAAGACTAAATACAGATTAAGATAAGTATTTTTGCAGTGTACTTGTTTTAATCTATGACATTGCACTGGTGGTAACGTTAACATTTGCATTAGGCTACTTATTTTTTTTTTTCAGTTTTCATTTCAGATAGTCTAGAGCTTTTTTCTTTCTTCAAAGACATTGGGAATTCCTGGAATAATTCATAACTCCAGCTAGGTCGAATGTGTCAGCACAAACCTAAAATAGATCAGCCAAGCAATTTCTTCTGTTTTGTTTACTGGATATTTTGCCCAACCTGCAGGTGCCTTGATTACAAAACTGTGTAAGCGAAGCATTTATATTCATGAGCCTGCACTACAGTGTGCCACAAATCATCATTTAACTCCTAATAGAGTGAGGAGAAAACTGACAACTGGATCTGTGTGCAGGAGTTTGGCTTGATGTGCTGTCCTTCTGCAAGGAAATGTCACCTTAAATCAACAGTGCATGTCACTTTAGACGATGCATTGACCATGGTGTGAAGGTATGGCCTATAGAATAAAAACAGAAGGATGTCCAGTATCCTTAACTGAAACAGCACCCTTGTTCTGTATTCAAACTATTATCTAGTTGAAGATTGCCTTGTATTTATGACATTTTGATGGGATAAAGTAAGAGCTATGAAATGCACACATATGTACTTGTGTATGTAGACATGTATGTGCCCGGTTGATATGATCAGGCTATGTCAGAGAGACCTTGAGAAAGTGCAGTGATAATGAACACCAGGATGGGTCTGAGGTGTACTACAGAGAAATGCCCATCACTCAAGACTATGGCACGCATGAAAGTAGGTTTATGCTTAATGATATTTTGAAGGTTGTTGAACAGCAGTTCTCACCTTTCACATTCCAGCTAGGACCTCCAGCTGTAGTGCAAACATTGCATTTCAGAGAATTCATTGCAAAATTATCCTTAAAACAGAGCTATGTTGTGCTAAAGAATATTACACTATAACATACACACTATTACATTTTCAGCACAGCTTTTTAACTTGTGCTATTAGAAATACATAATGCATGCAATTATCTCATTTTTTAATTTGCTAAAACCACTAGAGTCAATGTTTTACTAAAAACTCTCAGAAATAAAGGTACGCGAGCTGTCACTGGCATGGTACCTTTTCAAAAGGTACACATTTGTAACTAAAAGGTCCATGTTAATACCTCAAGGGTACATATTAGTACCTTAACTGTACAAAAGTGTTCCTCTTAAAATTTTTAGGTGCTAAAATATGCTTTTGAGGTACCAATATAGACCCTTTAAGTACAAATGTGTACCTTTTGAAAAGGTACCACCCCAGTGACAGCTTGCTTACCTTTATTTCTGAGAGTGTAATGCTTCAGCTAAGATAATACATGCAAGGCAGCATACAAGTAACAATCCTTCATAATAATCTTCACACAGGTGCTTAAACTTTACACAAGCAAGTATTTGTTTAGCAATATTAGTAGTACTGGTCTTAATTAAATGCTCCAGGTTCAAAACTAATGACAGCATCTTTGCAGTTGCAAGAACAAAATACTCCTCGAAGTAAAATCGATTTATTTGTGCTTGTTTCTACAGACAAGGACTAATAAAATAGCTTTTTTTTTTTTTTTTTTTTTTTTTTTAAAGCTGGAGCATTCCTTTGACTTTAATTTAAGTAAAGCATTTAGCAAAACATCTAGTTTAGCCAACCACATGCTCAGAAATAAAGGTATAGGAGCTGTCATTGGGGCAGTACCTTTTTTAAAAGATCCATATTTGTGCACAGAGTCCACAGTGGTAGCTCAAAGGTGCATACTAGTGCCCAAATGTATTTAAAAAGTACCTCTAAGGTACCATTATGGACCCTTCAGTTACAAATATGTACCTTTTGAAAAGGTAATGCCCCAGTGACAGCTCATGTACCTTTGAACTTTGCATTCTGCTTGTTTATACCAACTTAAATTAGACTTTCAAAATTGCTTGATGTTAAATTGACATCATCAATATCTAGAAGGGGGTTTTGTATTTCCCTCCAATACTGCTATCTTATCAGCATTAAACGTTTAAAGATTCAAACATGTTTTACACAAAAAGAGAGAAAATAATGAAGCATATTATTAATCAAAACATTTATATAATGATCTTACAAATCACCTATCACAAGTCAATATTTGTGAGATTTTAGATTGTAACATTTGATTAATCTTCAGTTATGAATCACAACATAAAGTAAGAAACCACACAAAGCAGCTTAAATGAAAATATATAAATTTTCATGTATCATGCAAGATGTTATGCCAATTCATGCAAAAAATAAAAGAAAAAAATGAAATAGTCAGAATTTATTAAGGATGGAAATTGGAAACACCAATGATAAGCATTAACATGGCATGAAGAAGAAAACTGCAAAACAAGTGAGTTAAAAGTAGTAGATAATAGAAAGTCCAATGAATACATGTTATAAACAGATCAACTTTCAGAAACATGCTAAATTGTGTCCTCAGTTTTATTAAAATATACTTGTATAATCTATATTCTGTTATCTTCCATTAAACAGCATAATCGTATTATTTTCTTATGTGTAATATGGCACATGACAAGATTATTAACAGTTCAATTCATTCACAAATAGACAAACAGTGTACTGCCTTTCTAGGATAATCATTCATTCTAAATTATGAAGTAAAATATAGGATATGGCAAAGCAGTTTCTTAATCAACTGTAGGATAGTATAGATAACAGAGGCACTGAGTGTACAGTGGATAAAGATAGCTGGAAGAATAGTTTTGAAGATCTCCAAAACTTTTTCCATTTATATGTATATGACTGAACAATAACGATAAAGGAATCGAGCCCCCATTTTGCATGTAGATAGCATGCAAATTCATTGAGAAACACGGGGCTTTTATACATAAAAACTGTTATGTTTACACATGGAGGTGAAATTTTAAATACAAGAGGATGACGTCATGCAAATGTGATAGCCTACAACGTGTAAACAATTCTGAAACAAAAGATGACTAAAGAAAAAATGCAACATTTGAATTTACACAGAAAGAATGCATTCAGGGCCATACAAAGATGCACATTAATAGAAGCTGGGACTAAATATAACAGATCTCATAACAAATTTACCTTCACTATCTGACATGGCCCCCTGAAGGTCATCCTTTATAAAGGCAATGTCCCGCTCATAGCCGCTTGTCCTAGACTCCTCTCTCATGTGCTGCTGGACTTCTGGAAGAGAATGACTGGAGCCAAATTGGTCCCTTAAGTCTGCCGATATGGGTGGAAGCGGGCCTGCAGATGCTCTGGCCATTCCCATGGGCTGACCCACAGGGCTCAATGGACTCTCTTCCTCAGAGTTTTGTGCAACAATGGGGATTCGACCTCTGCTCTGACTGATTGGCAGACTTGTTGGTTTAGCTCTAGAAACAAACTGGGAGTCCATGCCTTCACCCTCTGTTTTCAAGCGTAGTGAAGAGTTTGATAAGTCTCTTTTGATAGAAAGGTCCAGTCCATACACAGATGAAGGCCTAGAGGAAGGTCTTGATCGAGTGCCGCTGGGGTAGGTGCCATCTTCATGCAGGGAAGACCTTATGGTAGGCCCTAGATTTAGAGATTGGCCAAAGTTGAGGGACTGAGCCAGGTTAGCACCAAGAGCTGAACCCAGATATTTCTGTTGCTCTGCTAGATTCTTCCTGAGACCAAATGTGATCTCATCCTGCAGGAGCCGTGCCCTGGCAGACAGTCCACCAACTGATGAGGCAGAGGCCAAAAAGTTGCTGTAGTCTAGTTCAATGTCCCTGCTCTCCTGGATGGGTGAAAACTTTGTAATTTTAGGGTCAATGAGTGCTTTTTTATTCTTTAGCTGTTTCTGGTAAAGAACTGACGCAGGAAGTTGCTTGGCAGCTTGCTTCTCTAAAGTTAGTCTCCCGATGCTATATTTCTCAGCTTTGGGGAAATGTCTAAAACTAGTGTCAGAATGGAGGTAATGAGGCAGGCCTGTAAGCTGTTCAAGACTATCAGTGCCTCGTCTGAATTCCTGCTTGATTTGCTGTTTCAGCATCTTCAATTCATATGGCTCCTCCATGGAATCCTCATCTGCTTTTCCATATGAATGGAGCCGAGAAGCAGACTGGAGTGGACTGAGAAAGTCTGCCACATCTGCTGTTCGACGAATATCAGCAGTCCGGAGAAGTCGATCAGCTTTGCTTATATCCTTATCGGCGATACTGTAGCTTGACCCGAGACCCGTTGAGCTTTTTGTGAGTTCACCGATGTCATCAATCAAGACATAGTTCCTCGCATTGTGGTGATCAAGGTCTGCATAGAAGGACTCAGCTGATATGCTCGACATGGGACTGCTGGCCATGCTGGCTCTCTCTTCCAGGCCCATCCGCAGATCAAGGCTACTGTATTTGCCACCAAGATGGGAAACTCCATAGGCACTCTCTGTGGATGTAGGGACAATTAGGAGGGGCTGGTTGCGTACAACCTCATAGTTTGTTGTTATTTTTGGCTCTAAGTCAGACAAAGTAGTCTGACGGGGCTTTTGTTGCATCAGAAGGAGTGAGGAATGGTCATAGCCAGTCTGCTGGGACTGCTGATTAAGTGAGGGCACTGATGAGTAGATGGATTGGTAGGGGGACACCTGCTGATGGTAAAGAGACTGCTGCTGGTACAAAGTCTGCTGAGGGTACTGACTTGTTTGAGATGCATACTGATAATGGGAGTATGGGCTCGTAAGCTGTGCATACTGGGACTCAGACTCAGTTTGTGGAGGGATGAACTGGTTAAACTCTGACTGTGGGGCAGTCCGTGGCCTTTCTAGTCCATGACCATTGCCTCGTGCCTCTCTGATGTTGCTGACCTCACTATCTGACATGTAGTCTCGCTCCTCTGCCACTCCTTGTAAGTAGGCTCTCTCCCTCTTCTCTCTCTCTTTCAATAAAGCCTCTTTTCTTCGATTTATACCCATCTCCAGATATCTCAATTTAGCATCTATCTCTTTCTCCTCCTCATCAAGTTCTGCCTGTATCTTACGGAGTTTGGAGGACTCACGTTCAACTAAATCCAGCTCTTTGTCTATATCCTGAAGGATTTTGGCTCGTGCCATAGTTGTGTTCCTGCACATTCGTCTTCTGGTTGAAGAAGTGGTGTACCCAGAGAGGCCAATGATGTTATCTTCTTCCGGGGGTGGATGAGGTAGAGTGCGTTTTACTTTCTTATAAGAGCCAACTGGTGTGCCACTCTGAGAACCTTTGCTCTGTGAAAAATTATAAAGAATGATGAAACAGAAATAAGAAAAGAAACAAGCAAGTTATAGAAATGAAACATACATAATGGTAAATTGGCTATGAATATGATATAATAAAATAAAAAATGTTTTTTTTTTTTACATAACAAGAAAAGAATTAACTGGATTTAACTTACTGAGTAGGTTTCTGAGTACTGGTACATCATTCTGTCCTCAGTTGTTGGACTAAGTGACTTGGGGTCAGACAGAGATCGTTGTGAAGCCCGTAGTGATCTTGGACTACTGAGATGCCTTGATGAATCAGCTGTAAGCATCTTTTGTGAACTTTTCCCAGGGGACATTGGTGAGACTGGGGAGCATAGTACCTTTGGAGACTTGGTAACCATTGAAGTTCCAACATCATCAGCTGTTAGGTGTGTGCTAACAGTTATCCCAGTAGGAACTGGGCGTCTTTTATCTTTGTCTGATGTAATATCTGAATCACTTTCTGTTTGGCCCTCTCTCTGTAAATCTACCTTTGTGTCCACTTGAGCCCTAACAGGAGATCTTCTAATGGTTCCCGAATGCTCTGTCTGAACTGAAATCTCTGCTACAGTCTGAATCGCAATACTTGACACCTTAGAGCTTTTACCCTTCTCTCCATCAGCATATCTACTGGAACGAGACCTGCGCCTACTCCGAACAGGAACATCCCACTCATCCTGATCCTCATCATCAGTTTGAACACAGCTATCTACACTTCTCCTACTTCTTCTCTTTCTGCCAGATGGAATCTTCTCAACTTCGTCTTCATCATCCGTTTGAACACCACTCTCGATCAGTTTCTTACCACTTAACCCTAGATTTTGCTCTTGCTTTGCTGAATCAGACATGTTTGTGGACAACTGCATTTGCTCCTTTGTCTGTGCACTCACTGTTACAGGAATGTTTGAACTGTGCTGTACTGTTGTTGATTGCCAGTTTTGAACTAATGTGGAGTCATGGGTGGAAACCGCAGAAGACATTGAATTGTCATCCTTTACTGGCCAATACTGTCCATTATCTCCCCCAGAATATTTTGAGTCAAGTATAATGTTTGAGCCCATAGGTGGGGACATCCCCTCAATTGGGCCGAACCCATATGGGTATATCTTTTGTTCTTCCAACTGTTGCTGTAGTTGCTTCTGTAATCGATGGATCTGCTCTAACTGATGTTGCTGCTGTGCAAAGGTTTCTTGTTGAAGGATCAGTTGGGCTTTTCTTTCTTCTTCTTGCTGCATTAGAAGCTGCTGCTTCATGTTCTGTAGTTCCTCCAGCTCCTTCTGCACAATGAATTGCTCTTGTTCACGATAACGCTGTATCTCTTGTCTCTCCCATTCAAGCTCTTCAGCTAGACACAGCTGCTTTAGCTTCTCTAATTGTAAAAATTCATGTTCTGCCTTGTACTGCTGGCTCTTGCTGTCATCTAAATCAGGGAAATTTGGGGATACCAGTGTATCCAGTGAGGCTGCTATTGCCTCAAGTGTAGCATCTGAATAGAGCTCAGGGAAAGCTGTCAATGAGGGAAGTAGACTAGCTAACGCAGAGGGTAGGATATCCTTTGATATATCAGATTGTGAGAATATTGATTGGTCTGTGGCTGTGTGCACGAAGCCATATGGAGCAGGCTGATTTTCAAATGCTGACAATGGTTCTGTAGGATCAGTCAGACTATTGTGCGTTGTACTAAATATTGAACCTGGTTGGGTCGTAATGGCATACGTGGAGGGAACAGGTGCAGCCACAGATGAGTAAACAATGCCATTTGTTGATCTTAGCAAACTGTTAACTCCATATGATGTTCCTTGAGAATATGGAGTAGAGGTGATTCCAGTAAATGCCAAAGTACCTTTCTTTGAGTAGTCTAAGGCTTCTTCTGTTGTTAAGAAAACAAAAATAGCATCATCAGCATCTAACTAAACAATTCCTCTGTTTCATGCAACATTAAGTTATAAACTGTGGAGCTGAAGCCAAAGAGCATGCAAATTTCTTGTCAGTGTCATCAGATTAGCAGGATGCAAAGCCAAAACATTGAGGCACAACACGGAGGCAAATGCATGCATCTGTTCAAAAAACAAAGAAACAGAAAAAGACAAGAATGAAAATCAACACATTCAAAAAGTAAATCACAGAAAACACTCAGACAAAATCAATAAACATTAGCATAAAAATAAAATAATATAAAACATACACGTATATGTACACTGTCATACACACCCATTGACATTTTAGCTGATGTCAAATCCATGGCTCCCTCAGGTGCCCCATTCTGATAGGTGAATCCATTCTTCCTTTCATAACTAAGGAGCCCAGTCTCTTTGAAATTACTGTCCGATATCGATGTCTTCATGGTACTGAGATTTTCAATGACAGGCATTTCGGCATCATCAATTTCATAGCCAATTTGAGTGTCTGGTTGTGTTGTCACAGGAGGCTGTGTTCTGCAGCTCCCTGTGAACGGAAGCCTGTAAATAACATCACAGCAAACTGTTCGTCTACCAGATGTAAGATCAACTGGTGTACCGTCATCTTCCACAACATTTGTGACCACTCCAGAAGATGAGGACAAAGCAACCATGGTATTCAATGGCTTAGATGTGGTGAGATCTACAGGTCCAACCACTGATGGCTCTGTATGCATTGGTATACCAACAGTGCCATTTGTGAAGCTCACTGGGGCTACAGTAAGAGGCATTAGAGGAGGGGCGCTGATTGTGGCAGATCTGTTTGATAGGTTAACAGGAATCTCTGCACTAGCTGGAGGCTTAGGTTGAGAATTTACTGGTCTATATACAATCTGTGCAAGAGGCTCAAATGGATTGTATGTGGTAAGTGAAAGAGGCACTGAAGTAGCATTTCCAAGGTCCAGAGGCTTGTCAACTGTGCTATTGTTATTGTAGGCAATTGTAGCTGTGCAAGTGACTATTGTTATGCTATCATTTACAACAGACAGAGTTGGACTGGGGATTATTTCAGCACTAAGATTCACAATTTCCGGCTGTACAGCAGTAGCCTGTCGGCCACTTGATTCACTTGACAGAAAAGACCTACTTGAGTCTGGGGCTGTCAGATCCATTCCACTGTCAGTCATTGTAACATTGACTTTAAATGTGGTGAGATCTACGACATCGGTAGGGTAATGTATTCTTCCATTTTGTTTGGACTTTTGATGGACTTCTGGTTGAATTGTGACTGTAGCACTCACAGGTTCAGGAATAGGGTCTACAGGAATCCTCTCCTGGACAACTGACACAGTTGTTGTTCTTTGCACTTCAGTCGTGACAACTTGGGTTACAAGCTTAGGCAAGGTGTCAGGATGCTGCTCAGTTGTTGAAATTGCAGAGTAGACTTGACTCATGCTTGAAATAAACTTATCCTGTCCACATATTTCTTGACTCTCAATAGATTTTGTAAATTGGGTAAATGTGACTGGTACTGGTGGCACTGCTGTTGCAGAAGTCATTGACGGAATTTCAGTTTTTTCCTCATAAATTGTTTGCTGTGTTATTGGAACTGGCGTTGGACCCAGATCAGTTAATATCTCTTCTGGGGCTGAGACTATTAGTACTTCTTCCATATCCAAACCAGGAATATCTTCATTTTGAGCTTGGATTGGAATCTGGGTTATTGTTATTGGTACTGAATATGCTGTTTGCACTTGTTGCATCTCAAGTTCTTTTCGAACATCACTCACTGTATTTTGAGGAACAGACACTGCTGGCGCCCCAGACATGGGGGTTAAGGTTATTGGTAGTTCCTCTAATGGTTTTGATGTATACAAGGTTGAAGCTGAAGCCATGGGAGGAGGACAAACCATAGAAGGTGTGGTATGTACCATTGCATGATATACTGTCGGTTCTACAGAAGTAGGTGGTAGTGGTGGTGCTGCAACAGGTGCTGCTGAAATTAAAGCAGGAGGTGCCATTTCGACTGGTGCTGAATAATGTGGTGTAACAAACTCAGATGGGGAATGTGTTACATTTCCCATACTGATATGAGGAATAAAACTCATAGTCTGTGCTAATTCTGAGGATGTCACTAAACGAGGAGCTTCAACCAGCATTGGATCAGAAGTTACTGGCAGCTCTGGAACTGTTACACACGGTGGTGCAATGCTTTGTGTTAAATTCATCTCTGGCAATGCATAATAAGTCTCCATTGTAGTTGAAGCAAAGTCAGGTGCCATTCCCCCAAAAGGTGCTGCTGTTTTTAAAGCTGGGGGAGGTTTTGGTGGGGCTGCTACAACTTGTGCTGAAATTAATGACACAGGTGCATCTATTGCAGCTGGAATAAACACTATTGGAGCATCACATGTTACCTGCTGCCTGGAAGTTGGTAGTGAGGATCTTCTTATAGGTGCTTGAGTTGTAATGGTTTCTACAGGTGATCCTGGTTCTGATGGTAATGTTATAACAACGTATGTTTCAAGAGTTCTAGCAAATCTTGGTGACAAAGGTGATTTTGGTGATGAAGCACTGTGCTTGGTCTCTATTGGGGCTGTCAAACTTAATGTTAATGCATTTGGAGGTTCTCTTGTTCTTGGCAAAGTTGCAGCACGAACTGCTTGGACAACTACTGGTTCGGGACTAACTGGTGGTTTTATGCTCTCACGTGATCTGTGGCTAAATACCAATCCTGGGGGAATACAGACAGGTTTGGGGGGAACAGGGGGTGGTGATTTGTGTGTTGGTGTCACTGCTGCTTTTACAGTCACACTAGCCACAGTTGCTGGGGGGTTAGGTTGAGATGAAGTAACTGATGAGGTAGTTTGAAAAGCCATTTGCTGGTCAAAATCAGACCTGGGTACTGTGCTATATGGTAATTCTGGGGGTGTAGCAAGGGGAGGTGGTGGAAATGAAATTACTGGTTTATCCGTTCTTTCCTGAGAAATGTAAGGTTTTGCAGATGCCACACAAGGAGAAACAAAACTCGATACTGTGGCTGCATAAGTAATGGGAGAAACACTAACAATAACAGGTTGGACTTTCTCATCGTTAACAGTTTTTTCTAGATTTGGCAATCTGAAACTAATCTGGCTTTGTGGTTTCTGTTCAATTGGAGGAATTGCATTATCTGGAATTATTTTCTGCGGTATTTGTGTCATTGTTGGCTGAGAATCAGCCAGCATTGATTTAACGGGATGGGAAAGTGAATTTTCAAAAGCAACAGTTGTAGTAATAGTAGGAGAAACAACAGAGACTGTCTTTGCAGCAATACACTCCATGTGACTCACTGGGGGTGAAATAGGAGTGGCTTGATGTAATGGTGGTGCAATATCTGATCTGGTTTCCACTAGTCTCTGAATGGGAATTTGAATTGAAACACTGGCTGGTGGCTGAACATCTCTAATCAAAGCAGGTAACGTGGTATGAGCAGATGGTGGTGTGGCCACTTGTACAACAGCTGAGCTTGTTGGGTCTGTAGAGACGATGCTAGCTGGAACTGAGGATGGTACCATTGTTGGAACAGAAGTTGATGCTTGTTCCACTGACTGAGATGTAGACGTGACCTGGCATAGGAGTGTGTCTGGCATAGTAGCAACAATGGCGATAGCTGTAGGTACTTGATTCTTTAATGTAGTAGATGGCAGAGTAGGTGCTGAAACTGGAGTTTGTTCTACAACTGGGTGCTTCAATGAAGAGGAAATATGATCTGGCATTTGAACAACAATTGAAGTCTCTATTAAAGGTTTTTCTTGAGATTGAACAATAGGTGTAAGAGCTGGTGTAGTTGACATTTTCACATGGTCAACTTTTTCAGCAGTCATGGGTGCAACAGTTGGTTTGTCTGTAATTGCTGATTTTGTAACTGATGTTGGTTCATGTATTGCACCAGCTAAAGGTTTCTGAGTTGAATCCACTGTATTGGTCGAAACCCACTCAGGAGAAGGGACTGCTTGCTGTATGGTTTTTGTTATTGTTGGTTTTGGAGCCAGGGTTGGTTTGGGACCTTGAGTTGGTTTTGAAGCAAGAACTTCAGGAGGAGCAGGAGTGCTAGCATCTTCCGAGACATGATGTGAAGCTAAAATGGCAGGTGAAGAGGATACAATAGTCTGTGCGGAAGCTGCAATTGATGGGTGTACTGTGGTTTGCTCATCCATCAGGTCTGGCATGTGAATTACAACTGGGACAGAAACATCAGCGACACTGGGGCTAGCTGGTGTAGTTAATTCAGATGTCTGGTCAGACATTGGAGAGGACGATGGAGCTGTTGCTAGTTCTAGATTTGAATCTGGAGATGAAATTGCTGGGGATGTTGGTGGAGACAGTGGAGATAGCGTTGTTGTTTCCACAACATATTTTGATGAAGGAACTTCACAGACAACAGAAATGGGATCATTCTCAAATAACTCTCCTGGGGCTTGTGGTTCTTCTTCACTTAGAGAGACATCAGTTGGCTCAGGTGATATTTGTTCTTGTCTGGCAATGTCCTCCTCTTCGATTTCATCTTCACCTGAGGAACACTGGGTGATCTTTAAATCAGGAATAGGATATAATGTTTTATTTACAAACGCATCCTGAGTAGACGTTGACTCTGTAATATAGGGCTCCAAAATACATTCAATTGGTTCAGCCAGGTTGTCTTCTTCTCCACTTGAAGGAATGAGTATAACCTCTGGGGAATCATATGATGACTCAGATACAGTCAAAGGGGAGGCAGGAGACAAAGGAGTTGATGGTGTCGGACTTGTTCCTGGTGTTAAAACATCTTTCTGTGCCTTCAGCAACTCTTCATATGCATCCTCTGTTTGCAACAGTGTCTTTGAATTTTTATCTGCAGCAAGTGCATCGTTTCCAGAAATAGTCACAAAACAAGTGTCACTGTCATCAAGTGGCAATGATGTGTCAATCTTTGTTGTGTATGTTTGCTGAGCCTCTTCTTCTTTTAGCACAATCTTGCTCCTTTTACGCATCATCTCCTCGTAAGCCTCATCTGGTGTCATAAGTATTCTCACAGACTCCCGGTCCTGCCCATGGGTGAAATTACCAAAAGCTGCTGCAGCCTGGTCTTGTTCATCAACCAAAGTTTCATAAGCATAGTCTTCTATTAACATGCCCCCATATAATGGTTCAATATCAGGTGGTGTAAATTTCTCTGATGTTTTGTATTCTTGTGCTTTCAGCATCATTTCCTCATATACCTCTTCAGCATTCTTTAATGGCTTCCCTGCAGCCTCTTGCGTTTCAGATGATAATGTTCTGTATTCTGCACTTTCTGCATCAGATTCAACACTGGGCGAAAAGTCAGAGAAGGAAGAGGACTTCCGTTCCTCTGTTCCTGCAACCTGACGTAATTTATCAGTTTTCGTCAAATGATCGCGCCTCCTTTGCATGACCAATTCATCTTTTTCAGTCTTCATTTTTCTTGAGGCCTTTCTTAATGGCTGTTGATCATCTCTTTCTTCTTCTAGCTCCATTGGTTGATCACCTTTCTCATGTAACCCATCCTCCTCAGATGAGTCTTCTATAGTGGCAAGGGCTTGGCCGTGCGGTCTGTGTTTTGCCTTTCTTTGCTGTTTACTCTCTGCTCTTGCCTTTTTATGACTTGGGCTACTATCACTATCTTCATCAATGGAGGACACAGAAGTAGGCGAAGCCGTTCCTGGTGTGATGCTGGACACCTGAACACTGGAAGACCCATCACCTTTTGATGAGTCTTCAACAAGACTCTCATACTCCTCAGTGGTTTGTCTAACAGGGCTTTTTTGTGTAACGGCAGCTGCTATGGTGTCAGTGACTGTGATCTTATTGTCAACCGAGACATCTATTTCCACACTTGATACTTCTAATGCTTCTGAGACAGGAATGACTTGGACAACTTGGTCATCTTGATCATGAGAAGACAGGTACTCCTCAGGTTCTACCGTAAGTTTCTTTAGGGCACGTTTAGGCTTCATGGAATCGACTTCTTTGGTTTCTTGCGATGCGTCTAGTTGTTCTTTGACAATGTTTTCCTCATCAGAGGGTAAGTTCTCATCTTCACCCATGCTCATGAGTTGTCTACGGATGAACTCCTCATCATCTCCAGAATTTGAACTGTCTATTTTGTAGTCCTCACTACTTGAGGATGGAGGCCTCACTCTTCTTCTTTGTATCTGAGGAGAGGGTTCACTCTCACTGCTGTCCTCATGGTATTGTTTTACATTATCTTGTGCTCTGACAGGCAACAGTTTTGCAGCAGTTTCTTTCATTGCCATTTCACTGACCCGCTGTATCTCTTTAAGCTCCTCTTCAGCCGAGCTATATGATTCTACTGAAACTGGTAAGATGTCCTTTCTTTGTTGCTCTTTAGTATCTGCTTTCAAGGTATCTACTTTAGAAATTTCTGTAAGACTGGTATCTATCTGTATCACAACATTGTCCAGTTGTCCTTCTGTTGTAGGATGAGTGTATGTATCTTCTTTGACCTGCAAAAACGAAGACCGAATGCAATTAATTCTGTAATGACAAAAATTTGCAGTATAGCTTTTATCATAAAACATATCGTCACCTTTTCATGTCAAACATTTATTTTTAGTATATCATACAACACTTGAATAAAACAGTGCAAAAACAACTGCTTCTTGCACTGCTAAATAATGAATACAAAATACTATACCTTTACTACATCTGCCTCAACAGTGGCTGCTGGAATCATAGAGATTGGTCCTCTCTCAACTTTTATCTCATCTGGGATTTTGTCTCTGCCTGTTTCTGTCAAAGTGACCTCAGCAGCGGTAACAACAGCTTTCTGAGACTCTGCAGCTGGTATTGGTGCCACCACAGCTGTCATCTCAGTCTGTGGCAAATATGTGGTAGGAACAACAGACAGAGATGCAGGGACTGCTGGAGTGGTCACCGCTGCCTTTTCAACAGTAGTCTTCTCTTCCTTTGCCTGCTTTTCAGTTGAAGGTTTTAGCTCAGGTTGTGGAGCAGCTACCTGTGTTGGTGCAGGAGTCTCAGGAAGCTGTGTTTTGGATGTGACTGTAGGTTTGTCTTTGGCAGATACTGGACCAGCTATTGGTATTTTCCCCATGTCTCCCAGCTGCCCAGTTATAGCTCTCTGTGTCTGGCAATTCAAACACAACCACTCAGCCTGCAAAAAAAAAGAAAAAAAAGACATACAAAGATATTGAAATGTTTTTTAAAATGTATTTGTAAATATAAGTAATATTTAAACAAATGCTAAAATGTATTTAAGAAACAGGCATTTAAGGGTGCTTTCACATCTGTGGTTCTGTTCATTTGGTCCAGAACAAGGGCAACAAATGATACATATAGCATTTTTCTGCCCTTTGGGTCCTTTTCACACCACACTGATTGCTTTGGTCCGAACCAGTTGAAAAGAACCAAAATGCAGTCATCTGACAAAATCCACATCACTCATTGGCCAGATGTTATTGAACATATTTCCACACTGCTTTTCGATTGGTCAGAATCAATATGCGGGAAAATGCCAATGGAACTCCCACAAGTAAACAAACCGGCAGACACAAAATGTTCCTTTTTACAATGGAGAGATGACTGCACTGACTGATTGTATCCCTGGTCATAGTAAACTACATAGTTTGTAGACAAACTATAGCTTTAGACAAACTATACATTTCGAGAATGAAGCGTGGCTGCGGCTGGAAAACAAAGTTTTAATGAATTACAAACAGCAAAGGCATATCCCTAGTCACTTCAGGAGAAGGTGTGAATTAATTTAGCTAAACCGCGACATGGTCATCTTCTGGAAATATTACCAATGACCCATCAGGTAATGACCCTCTCTCCCTCCCGCTCTCTCTCATTTAAAATTGTTGGTAAAATACTGTCAACAAATATTTTTCCTCCACATTCCAAAATGCACAGCGCATCAGCCTACAGCAGCTGGGTTAGTCCAAAAAGCTGCAGTACTTTTTGCAGTTGGGTATGTTTTAGTTCGGATCATGTTCTTACCAGAAACGAACCACTCCAGGGTTCGATTGAAAGCGTACTGACACCACCTCTTTAAGGAGGTCTCCATAGGCTTTTTTGGTGCACTTTTGGTGTGCACTCGAGTACGATTGCTGCATTCACACCTGCCCAAATGAACCGCACCAAGAGGCAAAACAAACTCTAGTGCGATTCAACTAAACTAAATAAGGCAGGTGTTAAAGCCTCTCTACAGTGTCTATTCTGTCTTTCAGAATATTCATATGGCATACTCCTACTGTTCAAATGAAATATGCAACCAAAAAGCAATATCTCATATAACTCACTGAATAATAAAATTTTAATACATGATCAAATAATGCATAATTTTTGTCTCGATTTTTACAAAGATTTGTGACTTTTCATTATGTTTACATATACTAGCAGCAGTGACTGACCAACTGTCTCTGATCTTGAAATGTACAGTTTTATGTGTGCATGATCTATTAGAAAGAAGTGCAAGAGCAAAGGGGTAAATAAACACTAAGAAGAAGCAACAGAATAAGTCAAAAGCAGACACGCAAACACACACAAACACATTAGGATAAATTCCCACGCCCAGTGATGCAAACAAACCACAATTCAAAGGCACATGATCTGACTTGAGTACTGTTCTTCTATGATGTAACATGCCCTCTGTCTCTTTTATCATGCTCACAGGCTTATTTCTGATTATAGAAAAAATAGAACAGAGAAAATGCAAGTATTCAAGTCATTTAAAATGGCTAGGGGTATGCAAATGCATTCCAAAGAGGAAACCAAAATGTGAACCCTAAAGCTGAATCTAGACTGAAGCCATAATTCCTTCAAAACATATAAATATTCTGTTCGGAAGTGAATCAATTCAGCTTAAACCGTTTGTAACAGTTTTTCCTCCATCTTTTTAGTTCCATTTTATGTATGTTTCTGGGTCTTTTTTAAACATTGTATACCAGGGAAAAAATGAGGCACAGCCAGAGAGGCATGTAATTACAGGCAAAAAGAACAAGTCAGGTAGATCAAGACAGCCTTCCCTTCCACTTCAGAACACCCGCATTACAATAAAATACCAGACTAAAAAGAAAAAGGGTTTGACTGGGTCATTACTAAATGTCACCATGGAAACAAGATAAGATTTATGTTCCCCAGAGCTCAGTTTATTCTGAGTCTTTGTAACAAATTCTAGTAAGCTGGCCTCTCAGATAGTATTTTAAAGCACCTTAGGCATGCCTTCAGAAAGTGAAGGGTGATCAGAAAGCGTTCCATTTATTCCTTAAACATTGACTTCCTAACAGTCGACCACATATACGGTACTAAATAGATAATAAAACAAAAATGACCAAATATAAAACCTTGATTGTCAAAGCCGTTTAGTTGTATTTCTTAAATATAATTTTTTTTGTTGTATTTCTTAAATATAATAATTATTTAACATATATATATATATATATATAAATTAAAAAGGTTGCTGGTTCGAGCCTCGGCTGGGTCAGTTGGCGTTTCTGTGAGGAGTTCGCAAGTTCTCCCTGCGTTCACGTGGGTTTCCTCCGGTACAGGTGAATTAGGTAGGCTAAATTGTCCGTAGTGTACACTCTCAGAAATAAAGGTACGTGAGCTGTAACTGGGGTGGTACCTTCGCAAAAGGTACAAATTTGTACCTTAAAGGTCCATATTAACACCTTAAGGGTAAATATTAGTACCTAAAAAGTAAAAAAAGTACTAAAAAGTGTTCCTCTTAAATTTTTTAGCTACTAATATATATTTTTGGGGTACCAATATGGACACTATAAGTACAAATGTGTACCTTTTGAAAAGGAACCACCCCAGTGACAGCTCACGTACCTTTATTTCTGAGATTGTATGAGTGTGAATGAGTGTGTATGGATGTTTCACAGAGATGGGTTGCAGCTGAAAGAGCATCCACTGTGTAAAAAAAAACTAAATGTGCTGGACAAGTTGGTGGTTCATTCAGCTGTGGTGACCACAGATTAATAAAGGGACTTTGCCGGAAAAAAAAAAAAGGAATGAATGAATGAATGAAATTTATTTTTGCAAATTTAACACAATCAAATTTAGAAGCGAACGCAGAGGGAAAAGCTCACTGAAACAAGATTTTTTTTATTCTTTTAAAAATTATTCTTGATTATAGATCAATTTACTTTTACTAGATTTTCTCTTTCAGGAAAACTACACAAGCATCAAAATTGTATCACATGAGTTTCACATGTTAAAATGAATTGTAACACACATGAAAAGCAAATGATTTGGCAACTGTGACATGTTAAGAAGCAGTCCAAGAAAACTAATCTTTTTTTATTTGTACAATATGTGACAAGAAAATAAAATGAATGAAGAAATGTGTAAACTAAAACATGATTTGATCAGTGTTATAATTGAGTAGTTCACTCAGTAATTCTGTGTATATACTTTTATTCTATTAAATTCTAATCTACATTAAGAGTATTACAAGCTAGACAGAGCACTACACATGGTCTGACATAGTAGATCCTAGCTAATGTTTACATCAGAAATATGTTGTTTTTCTGCATATATATATATATATATAACTTTGGGGAGCATATCTGTATAAGAATACTAAAAGTACAAGCATGTATAAATACAATAGAGCAAAGACATGATTCTATAGTTTCTGGAGAGTCTAACTGTATTCAGGTACAGAAATTTACCAATTAAATGTAAAACAACAGTGCACAGTCTTCAGCTTTTAAATTATTAAATCCAATTAATCTTTGCTTAAAGCTATAAACATTATTGTGGCGAGTGAGGCAGGGCAGAGAGCCATAAGTGCATGCGAGGCGGGTGGCGTGAGTGAGATAATCAGGGACACCTAAACACGTCAGGCGTCACCTGCCTTAAATCTCATGGAGGAGCCCTGGAAGCTAAAAGGAGGAGAGATGCCAGGGCTGGGCGAGAGAGTAATGGGCCCGGACATATTGTTTTTTTTCTTGCTTTCAGTCTGTTTGTTTTATATTTTCATAAAATGTCCCTGCCAAATAAACAAATACAAATAAATAAAAAAATGTATATTTTATTTTTATTTATAAAAATATAAAAAAATTTGCCGGTTCTCCACAATCTAACTTCATTACAATTATAACTTCTTGTGCCTGAATACTATAAATTCACTTGAAATGTGTACATAGTCACAGGTCAGTCATTTATTAATTTTCCTTCGGTTTATTCTCTGTTTCAGAGGTTGCCACAGAGGAATAAACCACCAACTATTCCAGCATGTTTTACACAGTGGATGCCCTTCCAGCTGCAACCCAGTACTGAGAAACACCCATACACACTCATAAACACACAAACTCATACACTAAGGCCAATTTAGTTCATCCAACTCCCCTATAGCACATGTCTTTGGACTGTGGGGGAAACCGGAGCACCCGGAGTAAACCCACACGAACACAGGGAGAACATGAAAACTCCACACATAAATGCCAACTGGTCCAGATGAGACTCGAACCAACGATCTTCTTGCACTTAGGCGACAGTGCTAACCACTGAGCCACCATGCCACCTTAGAAATACAAAAACAATAAACTCGTTTATCACTGTATGGTTAAGCTTTGTGGTAACTCATGTGCTCAAATGAATTATAATTATGACTTGACATTACACATCCTGCGATGTGACTATTGCGGATGCACACATCATGATGACGATTTATTGTGCAGCCCTGATCAGCAACATCAGTAACAGTTTGGAAAAGATTTGTAGAATAATTTTTAGTAACATGGTTGCATTGGTGAGGCAAATGCCTAGAGCAGATTATTTATTGAAGAAAAGCCCTTGAGGGCAACGCTCAGCAAGAAAGGCATTATGAGAAATAAAGTGTTTATAATAAGGTTTAACATCCAGTACTTAAGAAATCTAGAAAATAATACAATAAATATGAACATGATATACCAGATAACTGCTAGCCTACTACAAACTAGATGAACAGCTTCCCCATTATTCTGCAAGAATAACGAATTGACAGATACATCCATATATAGCATAGCCAGAAATGCCCAGGGTTGCAAAAAAAAAAAAGAGAGAGAACAAGCTTATTTGAACACTGGCTGTGGCTTTAGTAAAGAGTGCAATCATCACTTCTAATTGGAAATTTGACTGGCTTATACATATGCAAATCAGGAG